CAGGAAAAGCCAGTGTTCCTGCTAGGACAGGAGGTGAACTGAGTAGGGCTGGCTCATGGACCCACTGGTATGCGCAAAATCTGGTATTGGGAGAGATTCTGATGGAGGAGCCTTGGCAACTCCTCTGGCAGGACACAGACCCGGCAGGTAAGCGCAAGAAACATGATAGGAAACAGCCCAGAACAGGCCATGGAAAGTTACCCACTTGCATACATTTGGCATGGGCCGGGGGAAGACCAGGCTGATCTGTTCACGTCATCCACTGGCAAATCCGAGCACCAGAACAGTGTGGGTCGAGCCGGGTTCGGTCGCAACAAAAACTAGTGCACAATACGGAATGCCAAGGTGAGGTTGCCTGTACCAGATGTGACCACAGTGCCCAACCAGCATGCATGAGAACCAGGAAGGGGAGGGGTGGAGCCGGCAGGGGAATAAGGAAGGGTTCCTTTGCTGGACAACTATTCCCATTGGAGAGCGTGACCTGGGATGGGGACAGACCAGACTAGGCAGGGCTACAATACCTGTATGCCTCAGGTGGACTAGATCAGGGAAAAGCCAGGCTGGGCTGATTATTCCTACTGGTGCAAACAAAATTAGAGTGGGTGAGGGTTGTTTGGGCTTAGCTGCAGCTTCAGCTGGCAGAAGCTGGCACTGGGGCCTAGTTCTGTCAAGTCAAACCACAGAACTACCTGGAGAGAGCATAATCTGGGAGTGGGAGTGGCCTGGGAGGGAAAGAGTGGGCTCCTCCCTCTTGGGTTACCACTTCCATGGGAGGGCACAAAAACCAGGACAGGGGCTGGGGTGGAATGCGGTGTGGGACAGACTGGGCTACTGCTATACATACTGGAAAACCAGGGTAGGGGGCGGGCCTGGTGGGGGTTATTGTGGGTTGCTCCAACTAGGCTGCAGCTCCCAGTGGTTTATGCGAGGGCTGAGTATGTGCTGAACCAGGCTGGACTGCAACACCCATTGGTTCCAGTGGAAGTCAGGGCTGAAAACAGAACCAACCCAGCGATCGCAACCACCAGCTGATCGGGGTGATGGACTGTGCTGGGCCCTGTACTTGCTAGCACATACAAGAGTCTGGTCTGAGAACACCTCAAAGTTTCTTTGTGGTTCTCCCCAATCGAAATGCTGGACTCAGAATCCTAACCAAGAAAAGACAGAAAACAGAACAGGTCAATCAACCCTCTCAGCTATATGTTGGCAGCGAAATACAGGGCAAATGGAGACTCTATGATGGACTATGTCAATCAGTGGATTCTTCAAAGACCTCATAGTGCTTGGAGTGGCAAGACTGGTAGCGATTCATAACTGGTGAACTATCAAAACCACTTGAGCAAGAACCTCGGAGCATACCCTACAAGCGGGACCTGGGGAGGGTGGGAAATTGGGTGGGCCTTCTCCCTTAATACCCCTGTTTTAAACATGAAGGAAACAATATGGAAATAATAGTGTTACCCACTTTCCTATAGCCCGTGAACCTTTTTACTCCAATTAACTATGTAAAGATTTTTTTAATAAAAAAAAATTCTTCAAAAAAATTTAAAAAGAATTTTGGTAGTGATTGCATTGGATCTGTACATCACTTTGAGTAGTACTGATATCATAAAAATATTAAGTCTTCTAAGTAGTGAATACAGATATCTCTCCATTTATGATGTTTTATCTCAGCAGTGTTTTGTAGTTTTCATTCTTTTCCCTTCTTGGTTAAATTTATTTCTAACTATTTTATTCTTTTGGGTGTAATAACATCCAAATGTAATTGCTGTTCTTTTCTCTTTTTTGTATTATTTATTGTTATGTATAAAAGATGTGGGTCTGTAGTTTCTTTTTAAAGATATATTTATGTGAAAGGCAAACTTACAGAAAGGAACAAAGGGAGTAGGTGAAGGGTTGAGGAGACACACACACACACACACAAATCTATTTGTTGGTCACTCCTCAAGTAGCCACGACACCCAGAGCTGGGCCAGGCTGGTGCAAAGAGCCTGGAAGTCCATCTGGATCTCTCCTACAGGTAGCAGGTTCCCAAGTACATGGGCCATTTTCCTCTGCTTTCTCAGCTGCATTAGCAGGGAGCTGGTTCAGAAGTGGAGCATCCGGGACTTGAACTGGCCATTGATGGTTGCCGCAGGAGGGCAGAGCTTGCTTCTAACCTAGCAGACATTCTGACTTCAGACTGGAACCCGGAAAGGACAGCAGAAATCCACACCCCCTGAGGCAGCAGAGCCACTGCTGCACCAATGCGGACACAAGCCAATATTCCTCACCTAATAAGGACCAAAGCGACACCTGCTTCAGCTTCCACGTCAAGAGGGCTTTTAAACTCCCTGCACATTTCTTTCCTTGCTTTTCTGTTCCTTTGTAGTTCCCTTCTCCACATCTTTCTTTCCACCACATGGAGAAGAAAGGCCATCTACCTTCTTTCCTACACTTGGCTGATCTGTTCCTTTACAGGTGGTCGTTGAACCTAACAGCCATCATATGCAATGCTGGCCTTGCAGGCAGTAGTTTAAGACGCTATGCCCAATTCTGGCCCTGGGAACTGGTTTTTTTTTTTAAATTAATTAATTATTTTTACTGGAAAGGTAGCCTCCTTTACAGATAGGATATAGAAAGATCTTCTGTTCACTGGTTCATTCCCCAAGTGACTGCAACGGCTTGTGCCGAGCTGATCCAAAGCCAGGAGCCAGGAACCTTTCCTGGGTCTCCCACACGGGTACAGGGTCCCAAGGCTTTGAGCCGTCCTCGACTGCTTTCCCAGGCCACAAGCTGAATGGCAAGAGAGGCAGCCAGGATATGAAATGGTGCTCATAAGGGATGCCGGCACCAGGCCTGGGACTAGTTTTAAATATTCTATTGGATATGCAGTGAGCCCAAAAGCTTCTTATACGGATTTTCCTTATTCAACCCCCACCTACCTCTACTTCATGACTGCTCTGGGGAATTCCCAAGATCACGGGGGCTTTGGGGGTCTCCATCAGGTTTCTGTTAGATTCTCCATGTTTAGTTTCCTGGCTTCTCAGTTTTATAGTCAGTTACCATGCACTCACCCATTTTCCAGTTTTCAAAATTTCCTGCCTTCTACTCCTTTAGTGGTCTTGGGATTCCTGTGGCTTACCTACGCCATTTTAGTAGCTTTTCATTTAGCTGCCTTTCATGAGCCAGTTCTAACGGTGTGGTTTTTGTCACTGCCAGTCAAGCAGGGGCAGCCATTAGATTTGTCAGTTCATCACTAAGTTTACGGAACCTTAATAACAAAGTCACCAAGGCCAAAACGGTGGCTTGGGGAATGGCACTCTGTCTCATGCAGAGAGAACGCTAGAAAGCTAGGCAGGCTGGCCAGTTCCCTTAACAAATGAAAGACTGAGCTGATTTGTTTTGGGGGCCCCGAGTTCCCAATCAGAGGTTAGATTCCGGCTTTTCATGATCCAGGCAGAAAAGTGGTCATGCTTGTCTCTGATTGTTATAAATGAAATCCTCCTGAACATTTATCGTCCAAAGGACAGGATGTTTGCTTTGCTCCAGTATGATCCATGGTGAGTGTGAGGCAATCACGGATCAAACAAGAAGACAGGAGTTGATACTTGTGGAAGTCACAGGATGTTTCCTGGGCATTTTGTGTGCCTCTGCTTCTGATTCATTCCCCAAGTGACTGCAGTGACGTGTCCATAAAGGTACAAAGGACCTGGCTGGATCACACAGCAGCAGGGAGAGGTCCCACCTGTTCCTGACGGTGCGGGGTGTGGGTTTTGAGTCGCAGTTAAGGGTTGTTTTGCAATTGTTCACGGGTCAACTAGGCTCTACCTCTGCGGTTTCACCTCTGCAAAGCCAAATGTCTAAGTAATACAAGCTGTGTCTTCCTGTGGGGTCTGGAGGCCTCATGCTGCACTTTAGCCACTACGCAGAGGGGTTGATGTGTCTCAACTTCAGCCCTTCCCAGAGGCAGCACAGTTACATGCATACACGTGTGGACGTATGTGCACGCGTGAGTGCACACACACACACACACACACACACACACACACACCGTTTGTAATAGTTTAAGATGTACGAGAGGGTCTTGTGGGCTCCTCAGCTGCCTTCCCTCGGTGATCACACCTGACATAACTACAAACAACAGGCCTGTGGGACTCTTGGTCCACAGCCCCAATAGAGGTTTCTGTTCAGAGGTCCCCAGGCCGGACTCCCACCTGCACACCACTGGAAGACAAACTCCTGCAGCACAGTTTTGGGCTTACGTTTCTGCAGGAATGTCTTACACACTTGGGGTTTGTTGCCTGTGCAGATAAGAGGTGGACACCTGAACAATGTTTTTCGTTGCCAGCAGGACTGTGGCTAGTCTGCCTGTGGTTATGCAACACTTCTTTCTTAAGAAACCATGTGATAAGCTTCTCATAAAATTTAGTGCCAGGAAAAGGTCTGATTGTAAAAAAAAAAAAAAAGAAAGAAAGAAAGAAAGGAAAGAAAAACTTGCTTTGTCACACAATGAGTACCAAGGTAAATGATCTTTCTTTGATTCCCTTTGCCCTGGCCGTCAGAAATCCAGTACTATTTTAATTTAAGTATTCCTTGTCTCTCTCCCTTTAAATAACTTCTCATTTTCCTTTTTGTCTTCCTCTAATTGGACAGGCCCACAACCCCTAATCCATAATTCCAAAATGCAAAAAATTCTAAAAATGGAACATTAAAAAAAATTTCATGGAGCACTTCATGAATATTCATATAAGTACTGAATACTAATGAGTTTGATTTCAGGGTGCTGTCCCAAACCCCTCTAGGGATGTTACATAACACACAGCACAGTCAGGTCTTCCTAAAATTGTAAGGATTCTGAGTTCTGAGTGGTTCTAACCCTGAGGTCTGGAGGCAGGTGACGGAGGACTTAGGAGAGTCTGCAAGGACTCAGGTCTTCGGTTAAGGTTGCGTGGCCTGTAGAGGCTCTAAGAAGGCCATGGGCGGGGGCATGACTTGATGGAGGTCACTGGTGATATTACCTGCCTCTGGAGCATCCTGTGGTCGGACTTTCTTGGTCAATTTCAGAGCTGCTTCAAGGTCATAGACTTGGGAGCGGGTGAACTTCAGCTCTCTGCGTAGCTCATTAATTTCCTTGATCAGAGAGACATTTTCCTAGAGGAAAGAGAGGGAGTATGAATGGATGAGTGATGGGTGGGCACGGGGCCCGTCCTCGTGGGGCTGGGGATCCACTGTTGGATCTTTATTCTTCTCACTGCTCAGCCTCTTGAGACACCAGTACTCTGAGTGGCCTCGGTGCCATTTCCATCCATCCACGCTGTTTCCAACTCCAGCGGCAGTGCTTTTTTGAGCACTTTCAAAATATGGACTAAATGCATTTATGCGACACAGTCACTCGATGGCTAGAGTCTATTACAATCAGTTTTACAGAAGAGGGACCTGAGGCACACGGACTATGTAACTTGTTCACATTACATAGCTAGCAAGTGGCAGGTCCAAGATTCCAGCTCCAAAAGTTTGAAAGTACTGTGCTACACTGTATTCATTTTCTTGGTCCCCTTCACTTATTAGACCTGTATTTACAAGGCTTCCACTGGGTCCTGAGAATGCAGACAGACGTAAGCAAGGGTCCTGCCCTCAACAAGCTGTTTAGTAACACAGAACAGCAAACAGATAATCAATTGCTGTTATATCCAGCTGAAGTTCTCTTATCTGTTGGATGAAGATTCATCCCTCCCTTCCATAAATATGTGCATATGCTTTTAATGGTTTGTGGAAAATGGAATTAAAAGATTAATTTATTTTAGTACAAATGTTCTTTTGAAATCCAAGCATAGTTTTTTCGTAACATTTATTTCTCATGAACCTCTGGAAGATTCCTTGTATAAGTGGATTCCACACATTTTTTGCACTCTGGGACCAAGTGACCCCTTTTCAAACATCTGCCTTTTGCTTCATGCACAGCGCCAGGGCCCCAAGCTGGCACTTGGGGGTTCTGGTCCCCATGGGCCAGTGCTCATCCTGTCCACCACGAGGCCTTGCTCCTGACCATGCAAATGAACACCGGCGCTTCCCATTCATGGAGTTTTCGAACTCAGGAGGTCCACAGTGGGTCCTGGGAATCTGCATGTCTGACCAGCTCCCGAGAGATGCTGCTGTTGGTCCTCAGGCCGGACCAAAGCCCTCGAAGGTTTGAGCCCCCAGAGGAGGCAAAAGCAAAACAGATGGCTGCAGGACCAGCTTTGTAGCAGGAGCTTTCCCTTGGGTCGATGCCTCAGGAGCCGCAGTGTGGACAGGATGATCTCCCGTCTGAGTGGTGACCATGGACACATGGGTTGGGGACCCCGAGACTCTTTCACTAAGCGTATGTCTGTCCCTCTAGAGGTCTAACGTGTGGATTCATCTCGTCAGGAAAAGCTTCTCTGGCTGCCCGTGAGATGCCCGCTCCTTCTCACCAGTCTCACTCTCCGAACTAGAGCCTGTGGTTCAAAGGAGTGCCTAGTTTTTCTTCTGTTGTCTCTTCTGTGAACACCAACCTGCACCTTACCTTTCCAGATGCTAGCTCTCTGCTGGTTTCCTTTCCAGAAACTTCTCTATGCTCACTCTGTCAGGAATGACACCATGGCGTCAGTACCTGTGTATCAGGGGCAGGAACTGTGGACCCTTTCGTGTGCGAAGTGCTCCATCCACAGATAAGGGATGGATGAGCAGACGAGTGACAACGCAACAGATGCCGAGCTGAGGTCAGATGCAATCCTCCCTCACAGGGCAATCAGAGACTGAGGGGGAAGGGAGGGGCGGGCGCCCTCCCAAGAGCAGAGGGAGCCCCCAGAGAGCCACGAGGAGCTCCTGGCAATTTAGCCAAGTGGCTCTTGCCCCACTCTTCCTGTTTGTCGGCTCCACTTCTCCTGCTTCATTCAATAAAGTCATAATACGATAAAGACGAGAAGCTCCCAGTGCTGCTCTTCGGCACTCTCCATTTGCATCTGTAGTCATTTCCTCCTCTGCGTCCTCTCCAAGGCTGTGTTACTGGATCCCACTGAGCTGGTGCTGGTGCTGGGTCTCTGGCTCAGCCTGCTTGCTGCGATTAGGAATCAGCCCGCAGCTCTTCTCCTTGTTCTCCTCCTTGGCCCCAGAATCTCTGCCCTGATGGCTTCCCAACCATCCCGACCCTCGATTTCCAGCTGTTGGATCTCTCTGCTATGACATCTCCATGACATGTCATCAACTAAAGGGGCTCTCGGGGTATGACTCTGACTCAAGACCACCTTGTTTTCTGATTGTTCATCCCTCACTCCTTCCCGCCACCTGTGGACGAGTGCTTGAAGGCTTTCTACCGTTACAGTATGGACATGAGAGGGCCTGCTTGGCTCTGGAGCACAGAAATACTCGCAGACTCTGAATCTGGGGCCCAACCCAATGTGAGGAAGGCTCCCAGGGGAGACAGAAGATGGAGAAAAGTCTTCCAGGCCTGGGGCCAAGTGTTCCAGGCAGAACATCAGATGCTAATAGCTGGATGATGAGAATAAAGAGTAATAAATTATAAGTGTGAGGGTAGACTGGATTCCTGCAAGATGGACAGCCCTGGGCACACATCACCTCACTTCTCTGTCCATCAACCTTATGAAAAACATATTGCTTGACTGATTTTATCTGAGGATACTTGGGATGGTGCACAGACCCTGCAGCGGGGGATGGTGGCTGCGTCCAGGGCATCTTGCTTCTCTGTGTCGGCTGATTCTACACTTTGCTTTCTCTCTTCCCATTCATGCCACCTCCATTCTGGGTTCTCCCTGCGTGTTTTCTGGAGGGGCCCGTGTTCAGAAGTATCCAAAGGTCATGTTGAGGTCATCTGCATATCTTTCAGTATCTCTGTGATTGAAAAATGCGAATGAACGTGGGGCAGCTCTTTGGCATGGCAGTTAAGTCACCTATTGAGACCCCGGCATCCGATGTCAGGGTGGGCTTGGCTCTCCATGGCTCCTTCTGCTGATGCTGACCCTGGAGGATAGCAAGTAGTTCAAGCAGTTGGCTTCCTGCCACCCACAAGGGAGGCTTGGGCTGAATCAGTCATTCCTGGCTGTAGCTTGGCTCAGGCCCAGCTACTGTGGGCATCTGAGGAGTGAACTAAAGAACGGACACACTCTCTGTCTCAAGTTAAAAAACAGACAAGTGGATTAAACTTTGTGTTCCTGATCTTTCCATCCCACCTAGCTAATGGGCTGTGGGGGAAAATCCAACTTGAGGTCGATCAAGTGGCCTGTCTTGGGAACGTGGAGCTCACGGCTGGCGTTCTAAACCAGGGGCAGTGTGCTGTTTCAGGGCCTTCCCTGTGGGCAGAGAAGAGAAAGGAATGCCTGTAGCACCCTCTACTGGCCTACCCTGAGTTGACACCTGTGCCTTGCAATGTGGAAAAGCCAGGCAGCAGGGCCGGAACTTGGAGGTCTTGCCCCACTGGCGTCTGTCTGGACTCACTTAATGGAACTGTCATCCACCTACCTGCACTCATGAGCCACCCGCGAATTCTTCTCCATCCTTCCCGCTTCCCTCCATGCCTAACCTGACATTCCTCCAATGTTACCTGTTTCTATTGCCTTTCCCCTTATCCTCGTCCGTCATCTCCCAACAGGTGTTCCTGCCACATGCCTCTCCACCCTGCCAACCGAGTTCACTCTTTGGAACAAAAATGACACCATACCTACGTCAGAAACCCTGGGTGGTGCTGATGTATGGGGGCAAACTCTGCACCTTGCCTGGCACACGTCCCTCACCCTCCGACAGTCCACAAAACCCCGAGGTGCACTCTGGATCCGCAGCCCCGTGACAGCCTCGCTCTCTGCTGTTTGGTTTCATTTCGCTTCTTTTCCTTCCTTCCTTGTCTTTTCTAAGATTTATTTATTTTTATTGCAAAGGCAGATTTATAGAGACAGAAGGAAAGACAGAAACATCTTCCATCCACTGTTTCACTGCCCAAGTAGCCACAATGGCTGAAGCTGAGCCAGTCTGAAGCCTGCAGCCAGGAACTTCCTCCAGGTCTCCCACACGGGTGCAGGGTGCCAGGCTTTGGGCCATCCTCGACTGCTTTCCCAGGCCACAAGCAGGGAGCTGGGTGGAAATTGGAGCAGCCAGGACATGAACCGGAGCCCATATGGGATTCCAGCACTTGCAGGCAGAGGATGAGCCAATGGAGCCATCACTCAGCCCTCTCCTCTGCTTACTCTCAGGCTGTCTCCACTGTCCACTTGTTCCCTGAGACCCCTTTGCTTACCCTGGAGCCCAGTTCAAATGCCACTTCCCCCTCCGAAGTCTTTTGTGAGTGCCTAAAGCACAACAGAGGCTTCCTTCCCTTGGGAGCGCCCCGCACTGGATGGAGCAGACACTGTTTGGCTGAGGGGAGGGGAACTCTCACATTCATCAGGAATTCTCTATGGCTCAGAGTGCTGCGTGAGAAGCACCCTGATACAATGTGGACCGAATGAATGGGAGATATGTCCCACATATCTGTATGTCACAACTCGTCCTATTTCCAGTTGTGCGGTGTGCTCAGGAATGCAAGGGGGTGGCTCTGGGCTCCTATCTGAATACACAGATGAGGCAGTGGCCTCATTTCCTGTTATCTCCTAAGGAGTTGCTCTCGGATGCCACAGCCACCCCAACCCTCCATGGCCTTCTTGGATTGAAGCACTGGGATCCTGCCACGTGTAGATGCTGCTCCACCCAGTTCCTGACCAACATGTGCTAAGGTAGCAGGAGCCTGGAGCTGCCTGCAGGGGTGCCGTACAACTCCCTGTACCTCCAGGCCACAGACATCCCCTGGTCCATGCTCCACCATGGGATTTCCATCTGGGTTCCTGATAAGTCCCTGTGTGGAGAAGGAGCAGGCCAGGGGTGTGCTGAGTGGCCATGTGCACGCAGCCAGCATCCCAGGCTTTACCCTGTGGGGTTGAGAGCTCTGTACTGTCTCCCCAGCATCCACAATAGGGAGCGGCTTCTGGGAAAGTTAAGGCACTCCCCCCAGGCCTCCTGGCAAATGAGCAGCTGAAGCAGCACAACCTGGGTGTGCACAGCCCTGTACCCAGGTTTGCCTGCACTGGCCCTGCCACCTGGCCTGGCCCTGGGCCAGTCCATCTTGTGAGTTCAGGATCAAAGAAGAAAATGGTTTTTATCAGCCAGATACCCCTGGAGGGGAGGAGGGGGAGGATGTGTGTATGTGTGTTGTTGTTGGACACTTTTAAAAAAAATCTCCCAAACTTCTTGCAAACAAAGTTCTTACACAAAGCCACTCTGTGATGTCTCTGGCTGAGGAGATGGGGAGCCACAGCTCTGTCCCCTGGGAACTTTCTCGTTCTGGTTGTCTGAGTCACTTTTCTGCAGCCACAGGAACCCCTGGCCTCCAGCCCAGCACACCAGCTCACAATGCTGCAGTACAGAAGCCCCCCTCCAGGATTCCCCTGTGGATGGGGGCTGTCTGCCAGCCACCCAAGCCTTCCTTCTCCCAGCCCAGCCCAGCACCCACTAGGGAGGCCTGACGCCTACCCCAAGCAGCCTTGTATGGCTGCCTGCACCCTCCTCCCGGCCTGTGGTCTTCCCTCAGTTCCTTCCTTTCCTCCTCCAATGGAATTGGCTTCTGGGCATCTGTTTGGCATGGACAGAGAGCCACCCCTTGGTGGACTCCTTTTATCTGTGCTCCAGTGACAGGACACAGGTGACAGTTGTGTCCCTATGATGCCTACTCATGCTGTCACTCTGCTCCACACCCAGCCTGTTGCACCCCAGAGGTCCCGGGGAGCTTGCTGGGATCCAGGCCCTTGAGCTCCTTTGCAAAGGCTCTGTGTGAGTGTTGGAGCCTAACAGGGTGCCACCCAGAAGGCCTGCTCCTCTGCGCTCCCAGCTGCTTCCATGGCTCAGGCACCGGGCAGTGACTCAATGGAGGGGCAGCTTGCTGGCAAGGATGCACAGAACTCTGGTGGGAGAATCCCCAGGGGGCAATCCTGAGAACAGGTCCCCGTGGTGGGAGTAAGGACTCATTAAGTCAGAGTGAGGCCTACTCAGGTTGGGTGTGGCCAACTCAGGACCCAAAAGATAAGGGTGGGGAGGGTGGAGACAGGCGTGCCCCAGCAAGTGTGAAAAGCAGAACAAAAGCAGAAAAACACAGGTAGATGAGCAACGCTGGAAGCTAAAGTGCCATGGATGGAGATCTCCAGGGACCAGAGGCCGAATAGAGGAGCGAAACGGGATGCTGGCGTGCCTCGCTCGAGACCGGTCAGAGCAAAGAGCACAGGAGTCTGGTGAAGTAGGGGGCCTTGGTGGTGTGCGGGTGGCCATGCAGGTACTTAGAAAACCTCTTCGGTGGGGCTGGCATTGTGGTGTAGCACATAAAGCCTCTGCCTGTGATGCTGGCATTCCATATGGGCACTGGCTTGTGTCCTGGCTGCTTTACTTCCCATCCAGCTTCCTGCTAATGGCCTGGGGAAAAGCAGCAGAAGATGCCCTGGTGCTTGGGCCCCTGACACCCACGTGGGAGACCCTCATGATGCTCTTGCCTCCAGCGTGGTTCAGACCTGGCCATTGTGGGTCATCTAGGGAGTGAACTCTGACTTTAAAACAAATAACAGATATTTTAAAAAGAAACCTCGTTGGTGGGGGGGTGGCTCTTGGCCACCGTCACAGTCTGGAGATCAGGAGATTCAGAAGCGAGGAGCAGAAAGAAGCACCAGGGGAGGCTACTAGCTTCCCGATGGGCAGACGCACAGATGGGAGCCTGGGCTGAGGGTTCAGCCAGGCAGAGCGCGGCACGCGGTACCTGCATGATGCGCACATAGTCAGTGCGGTGCAGCTCGCCCTCCTTGACTACCTTCTTCTTAAGCGTGGCCAGGCTCCGCTCCAGATGCTCCCGTTGGCGGGCGTACTCCTGCTGCAGGTCTGTGTTCAGCCCTGCGATCTCCACCTGATGGGTTGAGGGAGCTCTCAGCGAAGGGGGCGGGGAGGGGAGCCCACGCAAGGCGCAAGGCGGCGTGGGGCAGGGTCAGGCCAGGTGGCTGTTGGGGGTTGGGGAGCTCCAGCTCACCATGTCTGCCCGCTGCACATACTTCTCAAAGAGACCCCGGACCTTCTCCTTCAGCAACCGGGGCTCCTGGATGTAGGCCACGCAGTTGTGAAGGTCCGTCTTAAACCGCTTGACCAAGGCCTCTAAGTCTCGCTCCTGCAATTAGAGACAAACGGGGTGTTCGGTGGCTGTGAGTGGGGGCTAAGGGCACAGAAAGGGACTACAGCCGCCTCATGTGGAACCTTGTGCTGTTAGGGACCACGCTGGGCAGGAAGCCAGAGATGGGCTCAAGGCCAAGGGATAGAAGCCCTGAGACTTGAACACTCAGTCTCCTTCAATCCCCTCAGGAGGGGCACCTCATCTGTGGGAAGCTCTCTCTGTGGGCCCTGGTTTTCCTTCAGGACCCCAGGCCTTCGGAGATGAGTACCCACCCTGTTCCTTTGGAACCAGGGTAGGTGGCCACATTTCTTCCTGGCAGCTTGCTCCCCACCCCCAGCCACTCACCTAGTGGAGTATCGTTCTTGGCAGCAGGAGTGCTGTTGGGGGTGGGTGGTGAACCCCCTCCCCTCCCCACAACTCAGGCACTCAGGCTGGCCCACACTTGGGCTGGATGCCCTCTTTTCTCCCTGTTGTGTCTGATACCTGCAGCCTGTACCTTGAGCTAGACAGAAGGCCTCTCCTTTCTCTTCATTCCCCTGGCCTTTTATCCACATTCTGTGGTTTCTGCCTTGAATTCTAAACGACCGTGTGGATGGGCCACAAATCCCCGTCAGCGGTGAAGGGCCTCTCGGTTGGTGCTGGTAGCTTTGTCACTTCTAGCATGACCCAGGGCAGGGCCAGTACTTGGCATGGAGGCTGGGAACATCCATCCTGATTCAGTGATGGAGTTGCCTCTGAGCGGGAAGAAGGATGCAAAACCATGTTCTGTCCAGGGGTTGCAAGACCTAGCTTCCAGGACTAGCTCTGCACATACTACCTGGCTCTGGGGGAAGGTCTTCAGCTTCTGAGTTTCTCTGGCCTTCCTTTCCTGACTCATGATGCCAATAGGCCACCCACAAGGATTTCCTGACCTTGGCTGAGTTCTGGTGACCATGGCCTTGAGCCACTGGTCACAGATGACCTCTCTGAGCATGTGCTTCCTTGGGATGGACAAGACAAAGGCTACGGGTGATCCCGTGCACCTTCCCTCGATCGTGTGACCCAGCGTCATTTCAGAGTTTCAGGTGGGTGTAGTCATGTCCGTTTGCATGAGTCTGCCTGAGATCAGGCAGCACTGTCAGCAAGGAAAGAAGGTGGGTGACAGCAGGAAGAGTGTCCCTGCCGTGGCCTGGTCCCATCCCTATCCCGCTGGACCTGGGAGGTGCCCACACCTTCTGTCTCTCTCTGCGCATTTCCTGATCAGTGGCCCTGAGCTTCTGCCACAGTTCCGTGATGTTCAGCTCCAGCTGCGTGTTCTGCTTATGAAAGTGCTCCAGCTCAGCTTCCATCTGCAGAGAACGAAGGGGGGAGGTCATGGTCAGGTGAGGAGGAGGACGGAATTGGCCTTGAGAGCTGGTGTCTTCCAATGGGAACACTTCCCCTGACTGCTTTCCAGTTCCCATCTGTGTTCAATGGGCTGAAATCTTTCTTCTTGCTCTCACTCTCTCAACAGCTTCGGCCTGGGATAGGTGTTTGGTGTGGTGGTTAAGACACTCCCAGGAATGCCCGCATCCCATACCTAGCTTCAAACTCTGGCTTGCTTCCCACTGAGCTTCCTGCTTCTGAACACCTTAAGAAGCAGCAGGGATGGCGCAGGTACTCAGGTCCCTGCCAGACTTATGGCAGGCGGTGACTGAGGCCAGCTTCTTGGTCTGCTCCAGCCCTGGCTGTTAGGGGCACCTGGGGAGTGAACCAGCGGATGGAAGATTTTCTGTCTCACTCTTTCTCTGAAACTCTGCCATTCAAATAAATGAAAAAACCATAAAAAGAAAATGAAAGCAGTGGAGTTGGGGTTCAAACCCAGGTGTTCTAACAGGGAATGTGGGTATCCCGAGCGGTGTCCTCAGTGTCGTGCCAAGCACGGGGCTCTACCACGGCTATATTTGTGTTAACCAAGGATGCATGAATGAGCTGGGGAGCTTCTGATCAGGAGAAGGCTGAGTATGAGCTCCCAGTGGATGCAACTCTGTCCAAAGCAAAGGAGGGATGTTCCATTTCCCTCCACACTCTTGATAATAGGGAAGCATGCTGGCTACTTGTGGGGGAATGAGAAGTTCAGTGTGTCCTCGCATGGCTTGGTGGAGCAGTCCTTGAGACCCTTTGGTCAGATTTCATAGCTCTTGGCAACCTAACGTGCCTCATCTCTATCCTGGGGGTAGTCTTTAATTCTCTGTTAAAAGAGCCCCTCGACATTGACACCTGGCATGAAGGCAGCACTCAAAATGTGCTGATGAACAAATTGATGAATCAATGGCTGTGCAGTGCACATAGTGGGTGAAGGGAGGGCAGCGAGGGTGTGAGCAGGGGCGGAAGCAACCTGCCTCTGGGAGATAAAGATGGGCAGGTAGTGGCAGTAGAGCTGGCCAGAGCAGTTGGGCATACACAGCCAGTATGGGTGCTTGGGTGGCTACAGAAAGAATGTGCCCATTATATAGGGCATCCAGTTGTCACAGGCTCAGAGGCGTGACCGTGATGGAGAGGCCGTCTGTATCCTTAAGAAGCCTCCATTGTTGGGGCTGGGGGAGAAAGCAGAGTTAATGTGGGGAGCCTGGTGTGATGACTCAGTTGGCTAGTCCTCCCCCTTCAAGTTCTGGGATCCCCTATGGGCGCTGGTTTGTGTCCCAGTTAGGTCTTTCTCCCCAACTCTCCTTCTGTCTGTAAATCTGCCTTTCCAATAAAAATACATAAATCTTAAAACAAAGAGAGAATATAAGGTTACCTGTGACACAGGTAGAAATCAGCCTGTGTGAGCACGGGGAGACGTGTGGGCAGCACCCAGGGAAGCGCTGCTGTAGGCGGGTTCCGTGAGAGGAGTGAGTAGCAGAGGGCGAAAGGGACAGGAGACTTGTAGGCAGGGAGGAGAGAGCAGGCCAGAGGCATGGCAGCCTGGGCCTCCCTGCTGGCTCCCAGGGAGGCAGGGTGTCTGTGCCAGGCTGCGCTGAGGATGGAGGCAACGGGAGGGACCGCAGAGGGCATTGGCTGAGCTATGTGCATTCCATGGAACACAAGGGCAGAAGGGTCGCAAGTTTGGCCTGAGTGCTGAAAGCAAGTGCACGGGGCCCCAAGGGGTTTCCCAGGAGTGGGGTGATTGCACCTGCATCTCAAGGAGACTGATGCAGAGGGCTTGGTACAAAGGGCACAATGGCAGCCAGGCAGACCAGTCAGGAGGCTGCACCCTGGCCTCCTAAAACCAGGGAGCCAACAGCTGCAACATGGAAAGGCAGGTCTGAATGCTTACAGCCAGCTGTGTGTGCCCTTCTCCGGCCTTGCTGGGGGCAACAGCAGCAGATTAGGTCAGAATGGAAGAGGGACAGGAATCTCTCCTCTTTTGCTCTGGTTCTTAGGCAAAACTTCAAACTTCTTTGACAAGAATCTGTCTCTTGTGTCCAGACTTCTGGCACAGGGGGTTTTGCTGCCTGAGTGCTGGTTTGGTTTCCTGATGCTGCACCTCTGATCTAGCCTCCTGGCAAGGTGTCTGCCAAAGCAGAAGAGGATGGCCCCAATACTTGGGCCCCTGCACCCAAGTGGGAGAACGGGGTGGAGTTCCAGGCCTCCGGCCTTGGCCTCGCTCAGTCCTGGCTGACGTGGCTACCTGGGGAAGGAACCAGTGGATGGAAGTTGGCTTGTAGTCTCTTTGTGTGTCTCTCCCACTCTCTATGTAACTGCCTTTCAAGTAAACAAACTTTTTAAAAAACAATACTCTATTTTAGAGAAAAATTCAGAAAAATGTCAAATGTAGGTCACAGGCTACACAGCTGGCGTCCCTTTCCGGGGTGCAGAGCCTGCCTCCTTCCCCCGGGGTGTTTATCACACTCAGGCATTCTCAGCGGGCTGGGTTACAATGTCCCTGGCAGAGGGTGCTTCTGGCATCCAGTGGGCAGAGACAAGGAGACTGCTCCCGCCCTACAACTCACAGGACAGACACTCCACTGCAGAGGACTGCCCACTCCCATAAGTCACTGGTGCTGAGGCTGAGGAACCCTGTGCTGGGTGAAAGAATGCATGATGTGTTCTGGAAACCTCTCCCCTAGAAAGGAAGGGAAGACCCCTGAGTCAGTGGAGGAAGCTGGACAAGTCCCTACAGACGGGTACCTAGATCTCTGCCCCCCACCCAACAGTGGGGGCTTGAAGCATCCCTTCTATAGGAGAGGGGACTTTGAGGGTCCTTGATTCCACCCTCCCCAGAAGGCACCGGCCCAGCTATCAGCCTTGGCAGCAAGTGGCACCAGGGACAGGAGTGGGAAGACTCTGTCAGAATCAGTGCCAAGGGGCAGGCACTGTCCCTGCTAAGCATGAAGGCTGTGGCGACCCATCTCCACTGGACTGCAACAGCTGTCGGGGGAGACACCACCAGCCTAGCCTTAATCCCAATGGCAGATGTCGAGTGAGCTATGCTTTCCAGGGCCCCGAAGTACAAGGGTCTTTCAGATGGGTGGGACTCTGCGCTTCCTTTTTTTTTTGAAAGAGGTATTTATTTTATTTGAAAGATAATTAGAAAGAGAGAGAGAGCGAGCCAATGGCTTCCACAGCCGGGGCTGGGACATGGCTGGGGGCATTCACTCGGGCCTGTCTGTGAGCACCCCGGAGGCCTGAGTTGAGTCCAGGCAGGAGACCAGGAGGCCTGGCCGGGGGATGGCAGGATAGAGGAGCACGGGATTGACATATCTTTAAAAAATTGGTCAGACAGGCATTGGCCAAGATCTGGATCACAGGGGCCAAAGTGAGGAATCAGCAAAGATTTCTATGTTTCTACTTTAAGTCTCATATTAACTCTGGGCCCTATTGTCTGTCAGCTGTTTTTTTTTTTTTTTTGACCCAGTGAGGAAAGGTTAACAGGTGAACACACTGTAAGAAAACGCAATGTGTGTGTGGGTGCTTGGGAAGCAAAGGGGACACACTTGTACCTCATCGGAGACTCAGGGACCCTTGCAACTCACCCTGCTTTTCACCTCGCTCCTCTCCGCTGTCGTCCCTCCCAGAACATTTTCTTACTAACACCACCTGCCTGCTCAGGAGCCTCCGATGACTTCTTGTTCCTTCTCAGATGAAGCCCAAACACCACGGCCTTAGCCAGGGCCCCGATGGACATTTCCAGGTGGAAAAAAAATATTGCTGAGTGGAGTTGTGTGCTTTGTGGCGATGACAGACAGGCTGAAGGCCACATGGGTCTCCTCTGGCCCAGGGCCCAGCCACTGCAGCTTCCCTGTAAGGGTCTGGAACATTGCACCCTGAGGTCAACGGAGGACCAGAGCCTGGCCCAGGCCTCCAGAGGGTGAGATCCCAAACCCCTTGGCTTCCGAACAGCTCAGGCCCGGGATGCCCTTCTCTGAGTCGTTCTGACAGGCAGAGGCCGCACACAACCGGGGAACAAAGCCGAGTTGTAAGCAGAGCTCTCACCTCCTCAGGCCAGCCAGGAGCCAGCCAGGAGGCCCAGCAGGTGCCCCGACGGCTCTCACCTCCTCAGGCCAGCCAGGAGCCAGCCAGGAGGCCCAGCAGGTGCCCTGACGGCTCTCACCTCCTCAGGCCAGCCAGGAGCCCTGCAGGAGGCCCAGCAGGTGCCCCATGGCTCTCACCTCCTCAGGCCAGCCAGGAGCCCTGCAGGAGGCCCAGCAGGTGCCCGACAGCTCTCACCTCCTGAATCTGCTCCTTCATCACCTTGATCTCATTCTCTCGGGGTTCTATCTGTTTCTTCAGCTCCTTTATTTTATAGTCCAGCACAAACTTGAATTTCTCTAGCTCTTGATTTTTCTTTTTTAGGTCGTAAATTCGCTTCTCCTAGGGTGGGATGAGAAACAGAAGTGAGACAGGTGGCAAGCAAGGGCCCGGGGTGTGGAGCCCTGGGACTCCTGCTGGGGATACCAAGGCTGCCCTCCCACTGCCAGGCTGTAGCACCGGCCCCTGAGTGTCTGTATCACTCATTTACTCACTCACTCATTCACACACAGGATGGGCTCAGCAGCATCTCCCAGCCTGCACTGCGGCTCCTTTACGATGTGGCCTCGGCCACACTGCCAGGAGGCAGGTTAAGTTCCCTTCTCTTGCTTCTGGCTGCACGCAGGACAGGCTTCCCGGGGCTTGGATGGAAAAGCCAAGCAGCCAAGCAGCTTCCGCCTGGGATGCGCACTCTGTGTAGACATGGAGCTGCACCAAGACCTCCAGGCCAGAGGAGGAGACCTACCCAGCAGAGTCCCGGCTTGTTGGTCCCCCCCACTGAGGGACTGGGCCTGGGGAAGCAGCAGCCTGGCTCCCAGCCTGGCCCCCAGCATGCAGCTGTTTGAGTCCCACTCAGTGTCCTCAGGGGAGGCTCAGGACATTGTGGCCAGAGACAGGACACGCTGTCACATCTGAACCACAGGACGCATAAGCACAAGCTAGCCGTTGCTTCCAATCACCAAGATGCATGACATAGTGAACGGAACACGGGTATAGCCACCCGTCGAGTGGCTACTGAGTGAAGATCTTTGGTCATGTGTTAGGATTTTATCCCTTGCCCCTAAGGAGTAAACACCAGCTTGGAAAGCAAGTTGTAAGCACATGTAAGCCTCAAATATGGTAAGTGGTAGGTACCATATTTTATTGAGGGGGAAGCCAGGAGCAAGGCTGGAGGAAGGAGAGGGAGAAGGCCCTCCTGAACTGAATTGAAAGGGTTCAGTTGTCATTCCGGAGCACGAGGCTGCCTGCTCTGGTGAACTTGTACTGAATTAAAGCCCGGCTTTGGTTTTTGGGTGGGTGCCTCTGTGGCTGCAGGGAGACCAAGCGGAGAAGAGACAAAGTCCCCATCCAGCCCTTTACAGAAGACTCTGCTGCCCCCTGCTGTAGGCAATGGGGAGCTGCAGAAGTGAAGGGAGCTGACTGAAACACTGCTTGCTGCTTCTTGGGCAGCCCTGGTGGGGTGGAGGTCAGGGGTCGGGGAGGCCCTTGGGCCAGTTAGGAGGCTGCTGCACATCCAGAGCAGGCGGCCTTCCTCTTTCTCTGCACAATATCCTCTTAGGAGAATTTGAAGACAGCTTTGACAACGCATCTCTGCTGAAACCAAACCAAAACAAAGACCTGGGGTATACACAGAAACACCTGCAGACATTGGGCAACAGGCCAAATGCTCCTCCCAAGCCCTGTGAGGGGACCAGCATCAAGGACTTTGCAAAGTTGGCTGGTCTGTGGAAGGGCCTGGTGCTGAAGGCCACGTGCTAGCCATGGGAGAGTCCTACCCAGCTCAGGGAGCAGTGGCAGAGGGATGGACCAGGAGGGCACACATCTTAGACAACTTCCTTTTCATCCTGACGCTTTTTCTCAGAGCTGCCCTGTAAAATGGTGTGCCCTGTAAAATGTGTCTTGGTCTTCTGAGTTCCCTGTGAAAAGGGCATTCTAAAATTTGGTACCAGCTGGCTAGGGCGTGTTGTAGACACAGGGCAGGGCAAGCCCAGGAGTCCCTTCTTTGAGCAGGAGGCCCTAGTGGGCAATGTGGCAGGCGATCAGCCCCCAGTCTACGGAGATGTAGCCTCCTAGCACGCGTGGGGCGATGGGCTGGGGCCTTGGAGTTAGCTGCCTCAGCCTCTTATCCCTACAGACTGTGTGATCTTGGGACTCAGTGTCCAATGTCATCACAGTGGGTTGCTCCTGTTCCTGGGACTTCCGGCAGAACTTACCAGGATGTGCTGTCGGTATTTAGCATTTCATCAACAGCTCGTCCTCACCAAGTTAAATGGATGTGTCAGGAAGCCAGGGAGCCTCCCTCTCCCACTGCCACAGCTGACGGAGGCCGGGAAGCGAGTCCTCACCTTATCTTGAATGGTCTCATCTCGTTCCTGGATCTCTCGCTTGTGGCCTTGGATGTCCTTCTCCAGGGACTTAATGACTCCCTGCAGCTTCACCTGCTCTCCCTTCAGGAGGTCAATGTCATTGGTTTTCTCTTCAATATCCTTCTGCAGGCTGCTGAACTAAACACACACACGGCCCCCACCGAGGCCACTGAAGGTTCAGAACTCCTCTCCATGCTTCCCGACTGTCTCAATGTAAACAGCTCCCCGGTGCTGACCAGCTGGGGGGCCAGCACTGCAGCGCCCTTGTAGGAGAACACCCAGCACTCAGCCCTTGTGAAGAGTGCTGGTTTGGAGGATTAAGCATGGCTTAGGGAACTTCGCAGGCCAAGTGAGTGAGCTGGTAATCCTGTGCTCAACACGCAAGTGAGGATGGATTGCTTGTGCGTCAGAAGCCCCTAGAGCGGTCCCTTAGCGGACCCAAAGTCCTCCGTGACCACACAGGCCTTCAAGGGTTGGGATCCATGGCCCATCAGGGTGATAGGATCTAGCGGAGGAGCCATCTTAGCCACATTCACAAGGGGACAGACCCAAGTGCTCCCTGGGCTTGCCAGTACTGTGACTTCTAACAGCAAGGAACAGGGGTTTGTTTTGAGCGTGGCTCTTCCAGGGCTAAAGGTTTTAGGGAGTTGCATGACAATTCTATAAGGATCTGTGGATCAGATGCTCCACATCTCAGCCACCAGTGAACTAAAACATCTGCCCCCACTACCTCTGTGAACAGAGCATTTTACATCCTATACCCTCGTCCACCTGTTGGGTTTAGCTGGAGCTACCCATGGGTGCCCAAGGGCACCTCTGGGCCAAGAGTTGGTCTCATCTTCAGAAGACCTTTCCTCCTCATTTCTATCAGAGGTTTAGCTCTGACATCTTGACTACTTCCTTTTTTCCAACAAGCAGGAGCCCCAAGGGTACCTCTCAATGCACAGGGGTGTATTCCACGCCCTTGAGAAAGGAAAGGGACGGGGTTTGCAGCCAGCAGTCCTCCCAGGGAACGCTCTGGAGTCCACCTGGGTGTGCAGTGGCCATGGCTCTGGCCCTGTGATGGGGATGTTGGGGAGGGTCCTATGCTGGGGTCCCCAGGGTCACCTGGCTGCCGACCCCCAGCTTGCTCTGCCACACTGCCCTTGCCCACCACAGGTCTCTCGGGCTACCTTCTTCCTCATGATGCCTGTCTCCCCTTTGAGCCGGAGGTTGGCTTCCTTTTCATCCCGAAGCTTTTTCTCATATTTGGTTTTGATATCTTGGATTTCTCGGTCTTCATCTTCTTCAATCTGTTTCTTGGTCTCTTCAAACTCCCGCAGCTGCTGCCGGACATCTTCCTGTGCCTGGCTCAGAAAGAGGCCGGGGTTGGGGGAAGACTGAGGACCAGGGCACAGGGACCTGTGATACCTCAGCGCTAAGGAGGTCTGGGAGCAGACGGGCTGCCGAATCCTCTCAGGGAAGCCTTACTGCAGAAATGCGAAGAGAGGCCGGGGACGCCTTCAGCTGAACACTGTCTTCCTGTCTGTCCTTCTGTCTGTCTTCCCATCTGCCTTTTCTCCCTCAGCACGTTAGACGTCAGGTTCCATCACTCCAACCACCTGCTCACCACGCCCCCCGCTGGCTCTGCTGCTGCTGCTCCTCATAGGGATGTGCGGGCTTCCTGCAAGTGTCCCTTACAGAAGCCGTGACAGCTGCAGTGTCATTTGTTAAAGTACGTGCTTGTCTCTCCCATCAGGCAGGAACTGCTTGAGGGGAAAAAGCTGGCCTCTAGTGCCTACCACCAAGTTCCCAGTGGACAAGCCGCTTTGGCACACAGTACCTACTTAATGAGACGCTGAATGAATGGGTCAGTCTGCTCGCGTTTTCCCAGGTCACCCTCCCCTGCCCTTTCTGCTAGGCAAGGGGGAGGCAGAGGCTGAGTTGGGCTTGCTGAGGGTACCTCTTCCAGAAGGGTGGTTTTCTCTTGCAGTTTGGCCTCGTAAAATTCAGTCAGCTCCTCTAGGGCCTGGCTCTTGGTCTCGTCGTTGTCCCGAAGCTGCTTTTCATATTCTTCCTGCATCCTCTGGGACTTGAGCTGCAGCTCCTGGTATTTCTCATATTCGAGAAGCAACTTTTGATTGTTGGAACTTTCTGGAGAGAAGCAAGCAGGGCAGGTGGGTGAGGAGCACAAGCCTTGGAGACTCCCGGGAGCCGTGGTGACCTTCCCATCGCCCCCAGTGCCCGTCAGGGAAGCTGCCATCGGAGCCAAGGTTCAAGAGCCCCATTCGGCTTTCTCACTTCCTTCTACTCTATCATCTTATCTGGTGACCAAGCCCAGCCCCCTCTCCTCTGGGCACAAAGGTTTTCAGGAAGGCCCTCACGTGCGTGTTTTAGGGCTCAGAGTCAGGGAGAGCATCCTAACTAGGAAAAGTCTGAGGTAAACTGAGGCTCGGTAATGTCCAGCGACTCCCTAGTGTACTGCAGGTGAGGAGTGTGCCTGGCCGTCCTGTTCGTCTGCCAGGCTTGGAATCTGAGTTTTCTCTATCTCCCACTGGCATACAGTAGGGGCTTGCTATGCCTGGAACGAATGAGTAGGAATCCAGGGATGATTACAGCCAAAGTCGTATTCCCTGGAACGTTGGTTGTGTCTGGGGGACCGTCAGGGGTGTTTGCTCCTAACCCATGTCTTCCAGTCCCGACCAGCCTGCCCCTCGGCCCACCCAGCTTTCCCAGGAGGCTCACCCAGATCTTGCAGCTCTCGGCTTTGTTTGTCCAGGAGGTCCTCTATGTGTTCACGATGAGACACATCTTGCTTCTCTTTTTCTGTCTTCAAAACCTGAAAGGCAGAGCCACGTCATCTCCTTTTTACACATCTCCACATTATCCAGGGCAGGAACTGTCACAAGTACCACCTGTCTTCATTTGCAAGCAGTTATTGCGCACCAAGCGTTACTCAATAAAGCAACGGCAACACTATCGCCTTTTATTTCCATCCTGTTTTGATTTGGAGTTCCACACTCTCCCCACGTCCAGCCATGCCATTAAGTGGGGCTGTCAACGATGAGGTCAGTTTTGCACGTGGATCAAGTGGATGCTGGGATGACAGGGTGGGGTTCCCTTGAGACCTGTGTCAGTGTCTGTGTGTTACTGTTAGGGGGAACCTGGGGTGAGCTGCTGTGTGGGCTGCTAAGGAAACTCACTGCAGGCTGTAGAGATGGCAGCCCCAGGGCCTGATTTTGTACTTGGCTTAGGATGGGCACCAAGTAAAGTTTGTTGACTATAGCAGTGAAATTACAAATTAATTAATTAGGGGCCAGCATTACAGTATAGGAGGCTAAGCCTCTGCCTGCGATGACAGCATCCTAAATGGATGCTGGTTCGAGTCCCAGCTATTTCACTTCTTCTTCTTTTTTTTTTTTTTAAAGATTATTTATTTTTATTGGAAAGGCAGATATACAGAGAGGAGGAGAGACACAGAGGAAGATGTTCCGCCTGATGGTTCACTCCCCAAGCAGCTGCAATGGCCAGAGCTGAACCAATCTGAAGCCAAGAGCCAGGAGCCTCTTCCGGGTCTCCCATGTGGGTGCAGGGTCCTAAGGCTTTGGACCATCCTTGACTGCTTTCCCAGGCCACAAGCAGGGAGCTGGATGGGAAGTGAGGCTGCTGGGATTAGAACCAGAGACCATATGGGAATCCCAGTATGTTCAAGGCGAGGACTTTAGCCATAGGCTATTGTGGGGCAGGCCCTGCTCCCTTTCTGATCTAGCTCCCTACTAATGTGCCTGGGAAAGCAGTCAAGGATGGCTCATAGTCCCCTGCATCTATGTGGGAGACCTAAAAGAAGCTCTAGGCTTCTGGCTTCAGATTAGCCCAGCTCTGGAGTGAACTAGCAGATGGAAGACCTCTCTCTCTCTCTCTCTCTCTAACTCTGCCTTTCAAATAATAAACAAATAAATATTAAAAACTGCTAAATGAATGAATTGATAAAACTAACAGGGCTGTTTTTTTTAAGTCAAGTTCTTTGACTTAGGGGAATAATGCAAAGTAACACTCCTTGTGCAAAAAATTAGGGATTTTTCATGATCTGAGGAGAACAGGGGAAGGAGTGTGGGAGAACCTGGACAAACGCATCTAACACACAGACTGAATTAACTTTATTTAACATTCTCATAACTTAGAAATCAACCAGTCTGCCAGTTCTTCCCATTCTACTGTTTTTCTTGTTTTTATCTCATTTTGCTTTAAAATAAACTTTTTTCCCAAATCATAAATAAGCTTTTTTTTCCAGTCTCATTGTCCAGATATTGGAAATTACAGAAAAATATTAAAGAACATTTAAATTATGCATAATTTCAATTTACAGAGGCAATTTACCCTTCCTTTCGTTGATTGTCTCTGTCTTTATTTCACCCAGTTCATGCCATTCACTACAGTTTTACATTCCACTTTTTTACATTTAGCCCTCCGCTGTAAGCATTTCTGATGTCTTTGCTGTGCTTCAAAATCCAATGTTATCGCCAAGCAACTTATGGCTTGAGCACAGCGTGGGCAGCATGAGTTTATGCCAGTCTCATCTTGGGCAAGGTGGTAACTTTACGTGTGTAGCTGTCGGTTCAAACAGACCTGGTTTTTGGTTTTCAGAGACTCCATTTCCTGGACAAACTTGTCCGTCAGCTCTTTAATCTTCTCAGTATAGTTCATATCCTTTAATCGAAGTTGATACTCATTCTCCATTTTCAGCTCTTCCACACGCGTCTTTAGCTCCAACATGATCTGAGCCTGTAGGGGAAGGCACAACACAGAACTGAGAACATTAACAGTGTGGGCGACTTGGCTTACTGACACCTATGGCTTTGACCTGAGATCTGTGGCTCCATTGAGCTCTAGACTACACGTATCTCAACTAGAACTCGTCGGCTCACGTTCACAAGACAGCAGGCTAAATATGAGTAGACGTAATGAGCTTCCTCCTCTAGCCTCATAAGAGACATGTTCAGCGAGCTTGCCGTGTGCTATGCATTGGGCTGAGACCTCTCTCATCTCCTTCAAATTGGCTCCCAGGCCACTGTCTCCAAGGGGCCTCCTTGGATGCACTATTTAATCCTGGTCCCATTCCCAGCACTCACACTCTCCCCCTATCAAGCTTACTCTGCTCTACTTTTTATTATTTATTTTTTGCCCAAAGGTTTACTTATTTGAGATAAACAGAAAGACAAGAGTTGGGGGAGGGAGGGCTCGAGGGTGAAGAGTGAGGGAGGCAGGGAGAGAGACAGTGTGCGACATAGAATCTTCATCCATTGGTTCACTCCCCAGATGGCTGCAAACAGCCACAGCTGGGCTAGGATGGAGCCTGCATCCAGGAGCTTCATCCAGGTCTCGTGTGGGTGGCAGGGACTCAAATACTTGGGCCATCTTCTGCTGCCTTTCCTAGCCATTAGCAGAGAGCTGAGTCAGAAGTGCAGCAGCTGGGACAGAACCAGCACCCATAAGGGATGCTGGTGTTATAGCCAGAAGTTTTACTTGCTATGCCACAACACCAGCCATTATTATTTCTTTATATCTTGGAACTTTCTAATATAAAGGGGTCTTCAAATGACTCATGGAAACTATATATCATGAAAGAACTATGCATGGGTTTCAACATTTTTCTGCATCAAAATAAAGCTTTGAATTCCATGTTCTATGGACTTGCTGAAGTACCCTTCAATATGATATGATTTGCTATTGATTTGGTCTGTTTCTCTCATTAGAACTTGAACTCAAAACCTTTGTTGGTTTTGTCCATTAACGTATTGCAAGTATCCATAGCAGTGCCAAACAGCAGGCACTCAAAAAATAGGTGCTGAATTGCAATTCCTGCCACCATGGAGCTTGCAGTTTACTGAAGTGGCAGAATAAATGCATAACTAAAAATCCTGACAGCTGCCCAGAGCTGGGTGGTCCTCTGTACTGGTGCACATCCTGCATGACGTCCAGTACGCCTGCGCTGGCCTCATTGTCACTACTTTAACCTAGATCCTGGCTCTCCCATCCTGTTGGCTTCTGTGTCTGCTGGCTCCCTCCTCCATTGTACTCACTGACAATGAGGCCTTCAGAAAGCTGTAATGCACACTCCCTCCCTTCCCTAACAGTGTTAATGTGGATGAGAACCCGGGGGCTTTCTTCTTTCTCCCTTTGTGGTTACTCCCCCGCCCCACACTCCTAGCTGTCCTTTCTACCTACCTCCCCTACTGCCCATGAATGGCTGCTGTGCCTCCTGGCCAGTGGACATCAGCACACGGGAAGGAGCGAGGTGACAGTTGAGCACACAGTGAGTGTCCAGCCAGGAGGTTGCACTGGGGTGGGCGGGAAGCAGCGGGAGAGCAGATGCAGACTAGGTCAGACCGCCACGGTCCCTGCAGGCCATGTGAGGGGTTTGAATTGTATCCTGGGTGGTCTCCGATGGTCCTCACCTTGGCAGGCTGAGCTGACTTCGCGGTTGTAAGGAGCCCTCCAATGGTAGTGCAGGGCTAGATTAGAGAAGGACTGTCGGAGTGGGGATGACCATAGCCCAGGTGAGAGAATGGGAAGGGCTTCAGCTCCGGAGGTGAGGGGAGCAGAAAGGATTAGAAAGACTGGAGGGAGCTAGAGAATGGGGGTGAGGGTGCAGGGGAGAAGACGGTGGGTGGGACCCTCTTCCTGGCTGAGTGGGCCGGTCCCTGAGGGTTGGGCTGAGCCTGTCTGGCTGCCCTGCACTGTCCTCACAGCCTTATATGGGACCAGGAACACACTGAGCACTAACCATACCCCTCAGATGGACAAACCAGCCAGCGCTCTGCCTGGGACCAGTGCGATCCCCTGCGGCTGCTGACAGGTCATGGGGGACTAGCTCACCATCTTTCCTCACCCCACCCTTCACACTGCTGCGTGGTCCTCTCCTCTCACCAAGGTGCGAACCTTACCCAGCCATTCCCTGCCCGAATCTAGCAATGGGGACCCGAGAGCAGCGGTCACCTCTCTCCAGCTCCAGTCCTGCCTGGCACAGCCAACCGGGAGCGTCTTCCTGATGGCATGGGCTCTTCTCTCTCTGCACACTCTCAGTGTGAAAGGCTACTGGCCCTTTGTTCTGCAAGGCTCTGCACCAGGCTGCCTTCATCACCAGGTCTGGGCTCCTACAGCTTCTTCTTTGAGAGATTGCTCTGCACACTTCCCTTCTTCTTTAAATGTACCAAGTCACCTTCCCAAAGCTACAAGCTTCATGACTCAAGTCTTTTAGCCCTGAAATCCCAGAGACGTTGGCAGTCTGGTAAGGGATCCCCATGTCCCAAGTGGCCTCCTCCAGTGCGTCTTACTCTTACCTTCTCTTCCATGTCTGTTTTGGTCACAAGCACCTCTCCGGCAAAGCCCACCTCCCTCTCTCGCTTGATTCCACGGCCGTCCTTATCAAAGACCTTCCAAGTGAACAGGCAGCCATCATCAGCGGCAGTCAGCAGGAACTGGTCATCAAAGGTGAGCAACATCTGTGGGAAAAAAGGCCACATGGACAGAGGACGTTTGTGAAGCCACAGGTGACTAGGAGGCCATTATTCTGCAAGGCCGCTCTCTGTGCACAGCCTCACAGCTAGGTGAATCTGGTCCTGAATTGGACAAGAAGCCCTCAAACAATGGGAAGAAGCAGTGCTAGAGAGAGAGAATGAAGTCTTGAGAATCAATTCTTATCTAGAATGAATAACCACATCTCAAAACCCAACAGCAAGAAAACCAAGCAATCCAGTTAAACAACGGATGGGGCCAGCGCTGCGACACAGTGAGCAGAAGGCTCTTTACAAGGCCAGCTGAAGTCCTGGCTGCATTGCCTCCAATCCAGCTTCCTACTAATGGGAAGGCAGCTGTTGATGGTCCAAGTACTTCTGCCTGTGCTACCCACATGGGAGACCAGCATCGAATGCCTGGATCCTGGCTCTGGCCTGGACTAACCATAACAAGCAATCATTTGGGCAGTGAATCAATGAATGCAAAATCTCTCTCTCTGAGGCTCTGACTTTCAATTAAGTGAATAAATCTTAAAAAAAAAAAAAACATATATTTTTAAAAAGAAAATAGGTGAAGCCACATGTTGCACTTCAGCAAACTGAGCTGCCAGCTGCCATGCTGAAGTCCTGTGTGGAATGACCCTATCAGTTTGAGTCCTGGCTGCTCTGCTTCCCATCCAGCTCTCTGCTGATACACCTAGGAAAGCAGGAAAAGATGGTCCTAGGGCTTGGGCCCTTGCCACCATATGGGAGATGCAAATGGAATTCTTGGCTTTTGGCTTTGGTCTGGCCTAGCCCTGGTGACTGAGGCCATTCTGGGACTGAACCAGCACATGTCCCTCTTTGCTTCCCTTCCTTCCTTCCTTTCTTTCTCTCTTTCTTCCTTCCTTCCTTCCTTCCTTTTTCTTTCTTTCCTTCTTCCTTCCTTCCTTCCTTCCTTCCTTCCTTCCTTCCTTCCTTCCTTCCTTCCTTCCTTCTTCTTTCATTTTTTCTTTCTTAGATTTATTTATTTCTATTGCAAAGTCAGATTTAGAGAGAGAAGGAGACACAGACAGAAAGATCTTCCATCTGCTGGTTCACTCCCAAAGTGGCCACAATGACCGCAGCTCAGCCAATCCAAATCCAGGAGCCAGGAGCTTCCTCCAGGTCTCCCACATGTGTGTAGGGTCCCAAGGCTTTGGGCCATCCTCTGCTGCTTCCTCAAGATACAAGCAGGGAGCTGGATGGGAAGCAAAGCTAAGCTGATCTGAATCTGGCTGCCAAGAGCCTCTTCCGGTGCAGGGCCCCACGGACTTGGACCACCATCTGCTGCTTTCCCAGGCCATAAGCAGGCTGGATAGGAAGTGGGGCAGCTAGGATATGTATCAGTGCTCCTATGGGATATCGGTGCTTGCAGGTGGAGGATTAGCCTGTTGAGCCACCATCACCCTCCCTTTTCCCCTGCTCAAACAGTATCTTAATGGCTGCATCCAATATTTGCCTCAATTTTGTAAACAATAATATATACATTTATCCTATTCTTAACAATCATACTCTGGGATATTTACCACAGAAAAACAAAAAAATTGTGTTCAGAAAATCCTGTTCATGACAGCTTTAACTATAATGGCCAAATATGGGGAGGGAGGAAGTGGGGATCAAAACACTTCTCAACCGGTAAAGGGTTAGATGGGCAGTGACTCATTTACAGTGCATTGCCGTGGAATACTACTTGATGATAAGAACGGTTAAGTGACTCATACAGGAGACAACCCGGATGGTCTGCACACATTATGGTGACTGACAAAAGCCACTGTCCGTTAGAAGGTCACACACTGATTTCATTTACACAAAACTCCAATCAGTAGTCTCCAGGGATTAGAGATGAAGGGAAGCAGAGGAGTATGTGTGATCACAGAAGGGTGTAATGAAGGAAACCTTTGTGGTGATGGGACAGCTTTGTGTACAGGTGACATAAACTACACATGTGGTAAAACGATAAGTAAGCAGACGCAGTTTACCAGGTTTATGGTTTGATATTGTATTGTAGTTATGCAAAGCATTAATTATTGGGGGACAGTGGGTGAAGGACATACATGAATTCTGTGCTATCTTTAAAGTTTTTTGTAATACAGGGACTGAGTTCTGAGCTTTGGCCTGGCCCAGTACCACCTGTCACAGGCCTTTGGTTGGTGAACCAGTTCACTTCCCATATGGCTACAGTGCCCAGGACAAACCCAGGACAAACTCCATCAGATTCTGTTGCTTCCTCGGGAGCAAATTAGAGCAGCTGGGACTCAAGCTAGCACCTGTATGGGATGCCAACATCACAGGCAGTGGCTTAACCCACTGTACCACATGCTAGTCTCAAGGAGTATTATTTTTAAAAACAAGCATGCATTTATAATAATTATTTATTATAAGTATGTTTTATAATAAGTATTTTAGTCACAAAACTTAGTAGATGTACAGGAAAGAGATCATGTTGTGATAATTTACTTTAGACCCAAGGCCAGGTTCAGTACTGGAATGTTCTGTTTTATACTGAAAAACTCTTTCTTAGCAAGGATAGTGTCTGCAGGCAAGCCAGGATAATTTGGAAGAGATAGAGAGGAAGATCTTCCATCCATTGATTCACTCCCCAAGCAGCTGCAACAACTGGAGTGGCGCCAATCCGAAGCCAGGAGCCCAGAGTCTCTTTTGGGTCTCCCACATAGGCGCAGGGTCCCAAGTGTTTGGCCTGTTCTCGACTGCTTTCCCAGGCCACAAGCAGGAAGTTGGATGGGAAGTGGGGCTGCTGGGATTAGAACCAGTGCCCATATGGGATCCTGGCATGTTCACGGCAAGGACTTTAGCCACTAGGCTATTGTGCTGGGCCTACAGATACTATTCTTACTCTTCATTAAAGTATCAGTAACCTTTAATTGACTATTTACTGGCTATGAATGCTTGGCAACCACTTGGTATGCCAGAGAATTCTTCGAAAAAGTTCTTCTCATGGTAAAATCTATAGAACAAGAAGATGAACACTACAATTGCTGTAAGTATGCATATCAGTAGCACTAAATATCTTGGTGATGTTTTGTAACCATCACCACGGGCCATCTTCATGGAAACTGCATCATCTGAAATCCAAATTCTGAGCTCGTTAGGCACCAGCTCTCCCAACTCTGGCAACAACCTCGCTGCCTTCTGTCTCTGTGAGCTGACTTCCCTACGTATCTCATGAAGCAGAAGCCTACAGTATTTGCCCCTGGTGACTAGCCTGTTTCACTTTGCATGACATCCTTGAGGCTCATCCCTGCTGCAGCACATGGCAGACTGTCTTCCTGTTTAAGGCTGGCACTGGTCCAGCCTTAAACCACATTATGCTTATCCTCCACCTGCTGACAGACATCTGGGTTGATTCCCCAACGTAGCTATTGAACACAGATACTACTTATTGAGAACAAGGAATGGAAGGACAGTTTACAAATGTGTGCTCATGCTTTCGTCCCCAGAGGTGGCCTTGTGCATCCTTGGGGAGGGAAGGGAGAGAATCTCCTGGGCTATGACTCCTTCCAGTCCAGGTCAGTTTTCTGGAGAAGGGCCCAGCTGTGGGTCATGAGCAGCCAACACAGCAGCTGGGAGGTATAATGGTGACTGGGGGGGTGAATTTACAGTGTGACCTATTATTATGCATAACACTATGGTGAACAGCTTTGTACATAAGCCTATAGATATATTTTTGATTTTTTTTTAAGATCCTAGAAGTGTCTAGACAAAGAATATTGACAGTCAACAGATTATTACTGGATGGATGGTGACGAGTAAAGAACGAGAGAGAGACTGTGGAGACAAGACATTGGGAGGTTGTGGGGATGAAGATGTGATGCAATGGGCAGGATCGGAGACAGAGCCCACGCTCACCTTGGTGATAGGGCCAGCATGGGCTTGGTACTCGTTGAATTCTTTCTGCAGAGGTAGAGGGTACTTCATGGCACGAACGGTTCCTATAGAGGTGCCCACAAATATCATGCGCCCAGAATGCGAGATGACAATAGCTGTGTAAACGACATCATAGGCTGACATCTCTCGAAGGACCTGGAACACAGACAGCTCTGTTCAGTGTGAGATGCTGGCAGGTGCCTGTGGCATCCTGAAGTCTTCCTCTCCTCTGACGGCACCCTTATGGGTCTGTATTACCAGTAAGCAAGCAAATAAATAAAGATTTTTCAGGCAGGGCATTTGATCTAGTGGTTAAGATGCTTACATGCTGGGGCCCGTGCCATGGCACAGCAGGCTAACACTCCTCCTATGGTGCCTGCATCTCATACGGGCACTGGTTCAAGTCCTGGCAGCTCCACTCATGATCTAGCTCCCTGCTAATGGCCTGAAAGGAAGTGGAGAATGGCCCACTTCCTTGGGCTCCTATACTCATGTGGGAGACCCAGAAGAAGTTCCTGACTCCTGGGTTCAGACTGGCCCAGCTCTGGCTGTTGGGGAGTGAACCCATTGGTGGAACCTTTCTCTTTCTTTCTCTCTCCTCTGTAACTCTGCCCTTCAAATAAAAATAAATAATCTTTAAAAAAAGATGTTCACATCCTACATCAAAGCCGGTGCCTGGCTTTGACATCTAGCTCCAATTTCTGACCAGCTTCCTGCCAGGGGAAACCCTGGAAGGCGGAAGTTATAGCTAATGTTAACTGGGTGCCTGGCACCCACCTGCGAGACCTGGCACTCATTCCTCGTGCTTAGCATCAGCCCAATCCACATTTAGCCACTGCAGGCATTTGGGGGGTGAACCAGGAGATGAGAATTCCATTTCTCAAACAAATAATATTAGAAAATGAAAAATGTTTCCCTAGTACTGAAGGTAGCTGGCACAGTACCTAACCCATAAAGACATAGCCTATTTCTTGCCTGCTTGACTGATGAATACAAAGTTCGAGGCATTGGGGACACTACCTAAGGAACTATCCCTTCCTTGTGTTTGCTGTAACTCACTCAATGCCTAAACTCTCTGATGTTGTTACTGTTTTCTACATGTTTCTATTTTCAAGTTTTATTTTATTTATTTGAAAGGGAAAATGTCAGCAAGAGAGAAAGAAACAGCTCTTTTATCTGCTGGTTCACTCCCCCAATGGCTGCACTGGTCAGAGCTGGCCAAAGCCAGGAGCCCAGAATTTCATCCTGGTATCCCATGCACGCAGCAGGAGCCCAGGCATTTGAGCTATTCTCCACTGCCTTCCCAGACACACGATCAGGGAGCTGGATAACAAGTGCAGTAGCCAGGACTGAACCAGCAGCCAATGTTCAGTCCTGTGGGATGCTACTACTCCAGGTGGCAGCTTCACTCTGGTAGCCACAGCGCTGCTCCCTTTCCTAAAACATCTTCCCTCCTCCCCCTCAGGATTTCTGTGTATGTAAAAGGTACAGTGGCAGAGAGAAAGGCAGGTGCAGTGGTAGGAGCTGGGCAGAAGCAAGGAACTCCACTCTGGTTTTGTAGGGGCCCAAGCACTTAGGTTATCTTCTATTGCCTTTCCAAGTGCATTAGCAGGGAGCTAGATCAGAAACAGTACAGCCAGGACTCAAACCCACACTCTGATGATGGGATGCTGATAGTGCAGGCAATGGCTTAACCTGATGTGCCACAATGCTGGTCCGTTACCTCTGCTTTACCGAGGCTGACACACATGCGTTACAGAGATGGCAGTGAACCACCTCAACCTGCACACTCAGTGAGTGGAACTCTGGCTTGTTGCTGCTCTTGACTGCTACGCTGTTAAACATCTCAACATGAGGATGAGATGTTGATTATAAATGTATTCATAAAACTTTTATTAGCACCCATTATATAAGTAAAACTGTACTGTCAGAGCATCCATTAATTCCTTCATTTGAAAAGATTTAAAATTTTTAAAAAGATTTGTTTATTTTTATTGAAAAAGTCAGATAGGGGGAGAGACAGAGAGGAAGATCTTCCACATGATGATTCACTCCCCAAGCAACCACAACGGCCAGTGCTGTGCCGATGCAAAGCCAGGAGCCAGGAACTTCCTCCAGGTTTCCCATGTGGGAGCAGCATCCAAGGCCTTGGGCCGTCCTTGACTGCTTTCCCAGGCCAGCAGGGAGTTGGATGGGAAGCAGGGCCACCGGGACTAGAATCAGTGCCCATATGGGATTCCGATGCATTCAAGGTGAGGACTTTAGCCGCCAGGCTACCACACTGGGCCCTAATTCCTTCATTTATTAGTACACCATCTACTCAAGCACCCATGCACTGACTGAATGCTTGTTGTGAGTCATGCTGTGTCACAGCTGGCCGAGATGTCAACAGCAGTGACACACAGCCCCGCCCTGAAGGATCTGTGTCTTGTACAGAGCTGTGAAAGCTACCACAATATGAAGACTAGGTGACTTGGGGGTCTTTGGTGAACTGCCATGTGCTGGGCTGGGCTTGGGCCAGGGGACACGGGGCCTGACGTCCAAGGCTGCCCTGCTGTCTGTGCACTGGGTCGGACACCAGTCCCATCAGGGCGACAATCACTGGAGAACAGCCAGAGAAGCAGATGAGGAGAGTTGCCACTAGGATCCAGAGAAGGACCCGTCATGTTTTTCAAAATAGGTTTTATTTATTTTTACTGTAAAGGTAGATTTATAGAGAAAAGGAGAGACAGAAAGATCTTCTATCCACTTGTTAGCTCCCCAAGTGGCTGCAAAGGCCAGAGCTGAGCCAATCCAAAGCCAGGAACCCGGAGCTACTTCTTGGTCTCTCACATGGGTACAGGGCCCCAAGGCTTTGGACCATTCTCTTCTGCTTTCCAGGCCACAAGCAGGCAGCTGGATGGGAAGTGAAGCAGCTGGGACATGAACTCCTGGCACTTGGAGGTAGGGGAGCAGCCAATTGAGCCATTGGGCCAGGCCCATGAAGTATCCTTGCCAAATGCATCCTTCCCTATGCATCCTAACCATATGGGACCACTCTAAAACAGCAAAATTCGGAAATTAAAAAAAAAAAAAATACAATGGGGCCCGGCGCGGTGGCGCAAGTGGTTAAAGGTCCTCGCCTTGCACGGCCGGGATCCCATATGGGCGCCGGTTCTAATCCCGGCAGCCCCGCTTCCCTTCCAGCTCCCTGCCTGTGGCCTGGGAAAGCAGTCGAGGACAGCCCAAAGCTTTGGGACCCTGCACCCGCGTGGGAGACCCGGAAGAGGCTCCTGGCTTCGGATCGGCATAGTATCGACCCGTTGCGCTCACTTGGGGAGTGAATCATCGGATGGAAGATCTTCCTCTCTGTCTCTCCTCTCTGTATATCCGCCTTTCCAATGAAAAAATAATAAAAATAAATCTTTGAAAAAAAAAAAAAAATACAATGGCAAGACTAGGTGACATTGGTTAACTCCAGGCACTGGCCTAGAATGAGAGAGCAGATGAGAGATCTTGTTGAATCTCCTGCCCAGAGGGTGGATGAGAGGTTAGAGAACAGGTGAAGTGGAAATGGAAGGGGAAATAAAAGGATGGTCAAAGAATCACTGGGCAGGAAATCCAACAGAGAGGAGCCGCATGGCAGCCCGCGAGGAAGGGGCCGTGTCCTCCCAGGAGCTCGGTGCCAGCACTCCTCCAGCACTCAGCACAGGAGGCTGTCTTCCACTTACCGAAGAATCCGCAATCTCTTTGAGGGTCTGATCTGATCCCACAGCAAAGATAATCTTGGAATCAGGGGAGATGGTGACACAGTTGTAGCTGCAGGACTTGAGCACACATTCTGTCTCCCTCTTCCCCGAGGACAGACTCCATTCGTACACTGCGCCATCTGTGCCACCGGAAATCAATTTACTGTCATCTGTGCTCCACACAACTGAACGCACCTGCAGGGAGGAAGACACGGTCAAGTGTGCAAGCACGCATGCACGCACACACACACAGAGGAAAGGGACGGCATTCTCCAGATGCTCCCAAAGTCTGGGGCTGAATGGCCATCCCTGGTACAGCCCTTTTGTAAGCACAAAACACAGTGTCTTGGGAATGTGGATATTGTGTTTTCTCATATGCCTGTAAAATTCTAAAGCTAAAACACTCCCATTTCTTTCTTTATGAACATGCGGACAAATTACGAGTTTCGTAATGCTACAAACAATGCACTGTTGTTGCTTTCTTTCAAAACATTTTTATTTCGAAATAACTATGTGTTCACAGAAAGTTGCACAGCATAGAGGAAGTGGACTACTGGAAAGGTACAGTAAAGACCTCAGACGAGGGCCTGGCACCATAACCTAGTGGATAAAGTCCTTGCCTTGCCTGCCCGAGATCACACATGGGCACTGATTCATATCCTGGCTGCTCTACTTTCCATCCAGCTCCCTGCTTCTGGCCTGGGAAAGAAACAGAGGATAGCCCGGGCCTGGCACAGTGGTCTAACAGCTGAACTCCTCGCCTTGAACACTACCGGGATCCTAAAAGGGTGCTGGTTCTAATCCCGGCAGCCCTGTTTCCCATCCAGCTCCCTGATTGTGGCCTGGGAAAGCAGTTGAGGATGGCCCAAAGCTTTGGGACCCTGCATTCACGTGGGAGCCTTGGAAGAGGATCTGGGCTCCTGGCTTTGGATCAGCACAACACTGGCCGTTGCCGCCACTTGGGGAGTAAATCATCGGATGGAAGTTATTTCTCTCTGTCTCTCCTCCTCTCTGTATAACTGACTTTGCAATAAAAATAAATAAATCCTTAAAAAAAATAGAGGACAGTCCAAAGCCTTGGGATCCTGTACCCATGTTGGAGATCTGGAAGAAGCTTTTGGCTCCTGGCTTTGAATCAACTCAGCTCTGGCTGTTGCCGCCACTAGGGGAGTGAAGCAGTGGATGGAAAATCTTTGTCTCTCCTTCTCTCTGTGAATCTGACTTTCCAATAAAAGTAAATAAATCTTAAAAAAAAAAAAATCCCAGTCAATCCTCTCCCCAAAGGATCAAAGCAATCATTTAAGGTCTCTGTCCAGAAGGCCTACAATAAGTGGGGAAACATTCAGGACAGGCAGCCCAGTCTTGGTAAGAACAGCATGTGGCACTGGAGTCATGACTCCCACCATTCCTGGTCCAGCTTCAGAAACTTCACTGCTGGGTGCTCTGGGAGGGCTTGGCCGTGGCAATGAATCCCCTTTCCCTGTAGCACCCGTTTCTGGGCTATGGTCTTCCCCAGTTAAGAACAACTTACTGGTATTTCTTATCCTTACTCTTGCCAGATGTTGCACAAATTCTATTCCCAGCAGGCATAACCGAAGGAACCAGATCTCCCTTGGCCTGGCCAGCCTCCCATTTATTGGCAGGAACTCTGCTCAGAGCATATCAGGCAAAAAAAAAAAAAGTGCTTCCCAGGCGCTCTTGCCTCAGTCTGCACATGGTGGGGATGCTCCACACTCTGGGGAGTGAGCTGCAGACCATGGGCTTCCATTCACCAACCGCTGTCTCCCCTGGACAGACCACTGCTGCAGTGTGGAGGTCACTTCTGGTAAAGCAGGTCCCTCACTCTGACTGAGCAGTCTGTGGCTATCACGCCCCAAGGCAAAAGTCTCTCTTCTCTCTCTCTCTCTCTCTCTGCTTTGCTTTCCTTTAGGGAATGACTTTACCTGGAACAGAACATGGAAAAGCTGATGCCTATGGGCAGTGAATGTCACAATGGAGATTTTGCTAGAGAGTAGCTCTGTATTACAAGCAAGATGGCAGAGCAGCAAAACTTTAATAGAGTACTCGGGAAAGACTTTCCGGGCTCACAGACAACTCTGGGCTGAAGGCTGTGTGCGGGTGCCAGGCTATGCCAACCAGGAGCAGCCATGTGTGATACGGAAAATAACATGAAAGCATCTCCTAGGCTGGTGAAGACCCCTCGACACAGGATGGAGCCTTGCTGGCACAAAGGGGCTTAAATGCAGCCTCTGATCAAACTGCCAGGAGCTCCTGTGACCGGGACCACATCCTAGGAGGCTAGGATTAAACATAAATCACTCTTCCTCCGCAGCTAGAAGACAGCAGCCATGACCAAGGCCGCCCCTACTCAGGGGCAGAGAGGGAATCGCCAACAGAACAGTCCCTGGTTGGATGTGGAGAACAAAGCACAGACTTCCTGAATTGTCACAGCTGCCTCCGAGCCACAGCTGACTAAGTGGTTTACGTAAGACCTGTGACTAGTAAGTGGCCTAGCCTGTGCAGGAGGAATCTCTATGACTAAAACACACAAAAAGAAACAGTCATCAGAGGCCAGGGGAAATAACTTCACAGAATCAATTCAGCAAAATCACTAAGCAAATAAAAGCCAAACAAATAACCACCATCACCATCCTTTGGGGGCACATACTCAGAACTGCTATAACAGATTGTCCAGTCAACAAAAAACCATGACATTTACAATTTCTATTTTTCTTCCTGTTGTTGATTTTGTATTGTGGCTTTTCATTTAAGGGGATGTACAGTAACTGTGTAATGGAGACTCTCATATCCAAATGTGAGGATACAATGCAGTATGCATCTCTACTTCTAGATCAAAGATGGACTCCCAATCAAACTGTTTAGTATATCTTGACAATAGGCTGCTGGACTCGCTGCCATTGTCCATGCCCGCAATCATGGACAGAGGACTGTGCATGAAGAACTATACTGTAGTAATGATATAGGGGAACTCAGAGAGGGGGGAAGGAATTGGGGAGGGGATAAGGGAAATCCCAGGGCCTATGGAACTGTGTCATAACGTGATAATAATAAAAAGAAGTAAAAAAAAAACCATGAAAAATTGCTGGGGTCTGTGCAGTAGGTGTGGATGACATGAAGGTGTGAAGAGAACAGCTCCCCTGCTTGGCAGGGCCTGGGGAGCTTCCAGCTGTTTGGCAGGGCCCGGCAGATTTCTCTCTGAGCACCTTGACGCTGTTTCACCCCCTGTTTGTGTGGACACTCAAGCATCCCAATAAAAATTCTGTAATCTATTGAGGCATTGTTTGGCCCTGTTGAGATGGCTTTTGCCACCAACGTGAGCTTGAGAGTTCATGTTATTGATAATGTCTTGGTGAGTGGGCCTTTAACTGCACACAGGAGTACAATTAAACCCATGCCATTTCTGGACACCTTATTGTGTACCTACGCATCGCCCTGAAATCAGGTCCAGACATATAGCATGCCTTCTGGGAAATGGCTTAATAAGAATTTTACAAAGTAATGGAAGTGATGGGAGTGAGAGCTGAAACTGCTATGGCACTAAATATAGTTACGGTTATCTCAAAGGCTAGCCTGTCTTTGTAATTTTTTTGGCACATAGAAAATGTAACTGTTTTCACTGCTTTTATAATTTTTACCTAGAGGAATTAAGGATGCTTTTATTAAAGAAAAATGCTTTTGATTATTGTTTCATTGTTTATGGGGTTGTAGAGCCTATAGATGTTGGGGGATTTAATATTTGAAACTTTTGTTTTAGATTTTAGGTTTTTCCCTTGTAATCTATTTTCCCATTAAATAATGCATAAATTGTAGAAATAGAAATGTGGTAGGAATGTAATACTGATTAGCAGGTAATCGCATGTGCCTTGGCCTCAGAGTCCTGGCTGTTGCTCCATGGCTACTGTTGAAGAATGAATAATGGCTTGCTTTGAAGAATATGAATACAGTTTTTGCGGAATTATCTTTAGGGGCACCTGCTTAGCCTTGAAGTGCAGATGGAATGACCAAATGTCTGTACATACCCCCTTAGTCTTGAAGTAAAAAAACAGAACAATTAATTGCTTATGCAGAAGCTTGTGAGGTGTCTGAGTAAATAAAAAGGACAGCTTTTTCTTGAGCTGTTGTGAGAATGCACCAAGTGTCTGTGTTTGTGTCTTTCTTATCGCTGACTTAACGCACCCTTTTCGAGCTCTGAACTCGGCTGGAGCTGGACTCCGGTAATAAATGGAAATAAACAACAAACCAACTCCAAAACCTAACAAGGTAGTGTGACCAATAAAAAAATACAAACAAAACAGCAACAGAACTGCTTTTGAAGGCATCCAAGTGGTAGATTCGGCAGGTAAAGATATGTACAGTGAACAAAAGGAAAAATGCTTCAATAATTAAAGGAAGGCGATGAGCTTTTGGTGTAGTGATTCAATCACCACTTAAGACACCGAGATTACACATCAGAATGCCTGCTTCGAGTCCTGGTTCCTCTCCTTCTAATCCAGCTTCCTATAACGTTCAAATAGCAGAAGACGACTTAAGCACTTGGGTACCTGCCAAGGCTAAAGTTCAGGAAAGGCAACAGAGGAGAGTCCCAGCCCTGGACCTCTTGTGCCCATGCGTAAGACTGGAACAAGCTCCTGGCTTTAGACTGGCCCAGCTCTAGCCATTGCTGCCATTTGGGGAGTGAACCAGTAGGTGGTAGATCTCTGTTTCTTTTTCTCTCTGTAATTTTGCCTTTTAAATAAAAATAACATTTTTAAAAAGGAAAGAAAAAATTGGGGCTGGTGCGATGGCTCAGTTGGCTAATCCTCTGCCTGCAATGACTCTTTCTGTCTTTCAGCTCCACATTTAAACCTACGCTTAGTTCCCAGCCTACCCACACTTCCTAGCTGGTCTCTCTCACTCCATTTTCTTTCCGCTCTAACCCATCTTCAATACTGATTACAGAATTACCTTTCTAATCATATGAATTCCTTTCTTAAGTCCTTTGAATTGTTGTCTTATAATCAGTTTATTCTGAAATCTATTAATTGTATTAATTCAATAGCTTTTGAATCCATCTCCTTCATTCCAGCTCCACCATGCTCCAAAAAAATACTATCATTGATTATGTAAGCATCACAGACTCCTACTCTCGGGGCCGGCACAATGGCTCAATTGGCCAATCCTCCACATCCAAGTGCTGGGATCCCATAGGGATGCCAGTTTGTGCCTTGGGTACTTCACTTCCCATCCAGATCCCTGCCTGTGGCCTGGGAAAGCAGCTGAGGATGGCCCAATACCTTGGGCTCCCTGCACCCATGTGGGAGACCCAGAAGAAGCTCCTCACTGCTAGTTTTGGATTAGCTCAGCTCCGGTCTTTATAGTCATCTGGGGAGTGAACCAGTGCATACAAGATATTTCTTTCTGTCTTTTCTCTGTAAATCTGCCTTTCCAATAAAAATAAATAAATATTTAAAAAATACACTCTTGTCTCTTTCAACATATTCTTTACCCTGCAGCCAAATTAGTCTTGGAAGACTAATGCAAATCACATCATTTCCTATTTTGAAAGTCTCAGTAATTCTGCTGGTATGGGCAGGCTCATGATGGTCTAGGGCTTGTAGGGGACCTTGGGGTTGGTGCTGGCTGTGGCATGTGGGGATCTGGGGATTCGCTCCCAGGCAGGTGGAGTGAACCTGGGTAGTTCTGCACGTGCTTGATCCCAAGTGGGGTTGGGGAGAAGGGAGAGCCATAGGTTAGCATGCTAGCATGGTGTGCTTGTGGACTGGGTTGGGGGAACTGTGAACCCAACTGGATCTTGGGTGGGCAGAGGGGTAGGGTCGAGCCCAGGCCAGCACATATGCCAAGAGCTTGAGTCCCTGGTGGGCGGGTAGAACTCCAGGTCAGCACACCACCTCACTGGAAGACTGGGCTTCAGAACATTGGGCTGGGGAACCCATGTGCTCTTGGTGCAAGGAATGTGGATTGCTCAGGTAGGAGGCTATGGAGATGTGTGGGAGGGAGGACGGCTGAATAAGTATGTCGTAGGTGAGGAGTAACTTCTATGGGTCTTCCACAGACAAGACCACTGTACTTGTAGCTAATCTAGGGGGCTAAGACCCAGTGGTTGGAGGAGGGAACCTGGAGGAACTTTTTGCGTTAGATTGATGCACACACTGGGAGACCTGAGCTGGGATAGTTAGCATTGACCACTGCTTTCCATCACCTGCCAGTGCACACTGAAGCTGAGACTGGGGCATGCCTGGCAGGGCTAGATCACAGTACTCACCATGAGTATTGGAACAGGGGAAGGGTAATGTTAGGGACATTACCAGCACCTTAGAGAACCAGGTCTGGGTGCAGATTCTGTGGGGGCATATGCAGGCTTACCCATGCAGAATTGCAGTATCAGCTGGTTTGCTCAAGAACTGGGGTGGTGACAGGCTGAGCTAGACATGATCATGGAATCCTCCGACACTCATGGGACCTGGGGTTGGGAATAGGCCAGGCTGGTTGAGGCTATAGCACCCATAGATGTACCCAAGAATAGGGTGTGGTGTGGGCTGGGCCGCAATACTCACCAGCTCACACAAAGGCTGAGACAGAGGAGGAATACTGTGGTGGGTAAGGGCCTAGCACCTACTAGCACATGTGAGATATGGATCTGGGAGTGGGCCAGATTTGGGCACTTGAGGAACTCCCCTGGTGGGCTATAGTTTTTGCGGGTAAGTCTGATTTAGGCTTGGGTGATGGTCAGGCTGGGCAAGGAAGCTCCACTTGTCAGCAAGTGTGTGCATTGGTTCTAGGGGACATGTGCAGGAGTCAGGATGGGTGTGGGCCATGCTGGGCTGGGCTAGGCTATCATACCCACCAGTTTTCATGAAAGTCAGAGATGTGGGCAGACTGGACAGGGCTAGGCTGCAGCACACCACCACTGAGAGTTGGGAAGGGGTAGCTGGGCCAGGCCAGGCTGCAGCACCTGATGGCAAAGGCCAAGACTGGGGATGGGCTACACCAGACTGGGTTAGAGCAATTACCAGCATGTGCAAAATCTATGACTGAGAACAGGCCTGGTTGGGGAGCTAATGGGCCACTGTAGCTGGACTGTAGTTCCCATTGGTGAGTGCAAGAGCTGGAATGCGGGTGGTCAAGTAGGCTGGACATGACTGCAGTGTCCCTTGGCTTGGGTGTGGACTGGGACTGAGGTGTGTCAAATTGGGCTAGACTCCAGCACCTGCTGCTGCTCACAAGAGCCAGGGTGGGTATAGGATGGGCTGGGCTAGGTCTCGGCCCTTGCTAAACCATGTGAGAGCTGGATCTGAGGGTGGACCAGGAGTGACTGAGCCATAGCACTCAAAAGAGCTGGAATGGGTAGGAGCCAGTTGGGCAAAACCACTGTTCCTGCTAGTACAGAAAGTGAGCCAATTCAAGATGGACTAATGACCCAGCAATGTGCATGAGATCTGCCATTGGGAGGTGATCTGATAGAGATGTCTGGGGAACTCCTCTGTCAGGACACAGTCCCTGCAGGTAAGCACAAGAACCAAGACTGGGAGCAGCTCAGACCAGGCCAGGTTATAACACCTACCAGTATATGTGTGGGTCAGGTCTGGGGGTGGGCCAGGCTAGGCTAGTTCATGACCCCCACTGGCAGATCTGAGAACCAGGACGGGGTTCATGACAGGCTGGGTTGAGTCACAACACCAGCCAGTTCAAATTAGGGCTGGGACTGGGGGCTCTCTGGGTAGGACTAGGCTGTGGCACCCAGTAGCATGAGCTGGAACGGGGGCAGTCTGGGCCAGGTCAAACTGCACCCACTGGAGAATGCTGTGGTGAGATGGGCCATGCCAGACTGGGTAATGGTCCCCATCAGCACACATGTAAGAACCAGGGTGGTGTTGTGAGCCCGGTAGGGGGCAGTGAGGATTCCCTTGCTGGGCCATTGCTCCTGCTGTTAAGCATGAAAACTGTGAATGGGGGCAAACACCTGTTGGCCTGCATGTGAGGTGCTTTCGAGTAGAGCCAGGATGGGCTAAGTGATTGTATCCACTAGTGCATGCATGAGTCAGAGTAAGTATAGGCTGGTAGGGCTTTGCTGCAGGATCAGCTGACAAGTGCTGGGACTGGGGGTAGGTCCCGTCAAACTAGACTACAGAACCACCTGGAAAGTGCAAGATCTAGGGCTAGGAGTGGAAACTGTGGCACCTTTCTGATGGGTTACAGCTCCTAATGGTGAACATGAGAACCTGGGCTGGGGGTAGACTTGGTTGGATAGGCAGTAGCACCCACCAGCATATGGGCTGGATAGTGGGGTTGGTTGGCCTGAGCTAGGCTGTAGTATCCATGGTGTGTACAAAGGCTGAACAGGATTTGGGACAGATCAGACAAATCTGCTGCACATACCATCATGAGTAGGAACCAGGACTAGTGTGGGCCTGGTGGGGTTACTGGGGGTTTCCATGACTGGGCTACAGCTCCCTCTGGCGTATTTGAGGGCTGAGTGTGCAGTGGTCAGAGTTAGGCTGGGCCACAGCATCCACTGGTTTGTGTAAGAGATGGGGCTGGAGACAGAACTGACCAAGCAACTGCAACCACTAGTGTGTGTGCAGGCTGATGTGGGTGAAGGACTAAGTTGAACTTCGTATTGGCTTAACACACACAGGAATCAAGTTTGGGGTCATCTCAGATGAGGTTTCTTTGAGGATTCCCTCAACGGAACTGCTAGACTCAGAACTCGAACCACGGGGAATATTGCAGCATCTGTGGTCTGACTGTGGAGTGTGTATGTCAGAACTGGGCCTCTTCAATTGCTGACTGTGTCAGCCAATGTACCTTGGAACAATGAAATCAAGAGCATTTGACTATTAAAATCACTTGGGCAAAACCCATGGAGCATGTTCCACATCGGGGACCCTGGGATGACATGGGGCGGTCATTTCCTATCCCTGGGTACTAATGCGTTTAGGATGCTGGGTGTGGCTTCTTCCTTTTTCTTCCCTTTTCCCCAGATACAGGATGAAGAAAAAGAAAATGGGAAACAATGCTCTCATCCACTTTTCTCTATTTCTCAACTCTTCCCACTCTAATTAGTGGTCTATGTAGGTATGCCTCCTTCTCAACTAAATAAACATCATCAAAAATAAAATTTTTTTAAAAGTCTTCAATGACTTCAGTGAAGGACGTTAACACATGAAGCTCTTACAGGGCTAGCAAGGTTCCACGTGAACTTTCCCAATCTCAGCTCACATTATGCTCTCTTCTGAGACCTCCGTCTAGACTCACAGACCCTTCTGTCTCACCTGCCAGCCTCAGGTTCCTCATCCACAAGGATTCTCTTCACCAACCCTGACTGACAAATTCCTATTCATTCCTCCAGGACCAAGCCTTTGCAAATACATCTTCATTACTTCTAATAAGACCTCATGTCTTTTTTCTTCATTGAATTAATTACAATTTGTAATTAAATTTGTGCAACTGTTTGATTGTTTCTTTCTTCAAGTAGACATCGAACCCTATGAGGAAAGGAATCATTTCTCTTTTGTTCCGTGGTAACCCACAGCTGGCACAGCGCTGGGCTTAGTGCCCTTACTGTGTGGGCTTGTTCATTCACTCACCTTCCCTGTGTGTCCTTTCAAGTTGGAGATATTCTCCAGGCTCGTGGTGGTAAAAATGTGGATCACATTTCCATTGACGGCGGCAAACAGGTGGCCTCCATTGCTGAAGCAGCACTACAGTGAGAGAAAGCAAGCATGAGACAAAGGAGAAGGCCAAGGGCAGGACACGATCAAGGGTGGTGGCGGGGGTAAGGAACCCCAGAAAGCCCATGGAACTTCATGTATAATTTTTCAAAACATGCACTTCTCACAAACTTGTTGTAGATCTCTCATATGCATTGATTTCCAATTGTCTTGCACCACAACAATGGATATCTCCTAATTCTATTTTCCATGTCCTTTTTGGAGTCCCTTCTGAGGACTGAGAACCGGAAGGCATTTTCAGGCACTCTGACTATTCTTGAAGCTCACAGGGGCTCGACATGCTGACACTGCCTTGCGCACCGAGCATGAAGTGGCCTGGACGGCAGAGTACCTGTTCAACCTGCAGATTTACTGATTCAGAGTGGGGAGCAGAGTCCCAAGATCATGGTGTGTTCCTGCAGGTTGAGATCTCGAGTGTGACGTGATGGGCTGCTCACTGCCTCTCACTGGTGATGCTTATTTACCACCCTTAATCTCAACCTCATCTTCCCAGTGGTGACTCTGATTCTGAAGTGACTTGTACTTACATATTTTTAATATTTTAAAAAAGATGTATTTATTTTATTTGGGCATCAGAGTTGCAGAGAGAGAAGGACAGAGATCTATTTGCTGGTTCAAGCCTCGAACAGCCACAATAGCCAGAGCTGGGCTGATCCAAAGCTGGGAGCCAGGAGCTTCTGGATCGCCCACATGGCTTTGAACCATCCTCTGCTGCTTTCCAAGGCTATCAGCAGGGAGCTGGATCAGAAGTAGAGCAGCCAGGACTCAAACTGGTGCCCATATAGGATGCCTGTGTCACAGGTGCAGAACTAGTCTGCAGCATCATCACAGCAGCCCCACGACTTTTATTTTTCCATATCAGTCAATATTCCATAGCCACAGGGAGGATATTTTCACAGTGAGATCTCATAAGGTTTGGGTTTCCATAAAATACTTTGGTGGGTAAATGGTAATGGGAATAGGGGGCAACATTGTGGTAGAGTGGGTTAAGCTGCTGTTTATGACACCAGCACCCCAAATTAGAGTGTCAGTGCAAGTGCCAGCTGCTCTGCTTCTGATCTAGCTTCCTACTAAAGTGCTTAGGAAGTCAACGGATGATGACCCAAGCACTTGGGCCCCTCTCTCCCACTTGGGAACCCTAGATGGGATTCCTGGATTCTGGTTCCAGACTGGTTCAGCCCTGGTTATTGTGGCCATTTTGGAGAATCAACCAGTGGGCAGAAAAAAAAAATCTGGAACTCTTCCTTTCTGTCACTCTGCCTTTCAAGTACATAATGAATCTTTAAAAGGAAAGAGAAAGAAAGAAAGAAAGAAAGAAAGAAAGAAAGAAAGGAAGAAAGAAAGAAAGAAAGAAAGAAAGAAAGAAAGAAAGAAAGAAAGAAAGAAAGAAAGAAAGAAGGAAAAAAAGAAAGAAAGGAAGGAAGGAAGGAATGCAAATAGAACTGGATATTATGAGTTTACAGGATTAGATTTTTTTTTGTTTGTTTTGGAAACTACTAAAATTTCCAAACTGCTATAGGTCCTCTGACCTACAGTGTGTTAATTCTTTTTACGAACTGGATGCTCATTCCCAGTGGTCCTTACCTCTTTGCATCCTCTAACAGAGTATTCTTTGAAAGAGCGGATATCATCAATGAGTAGGTTCATAAGGCGGAGTTTGTCAGCAAACCCTACTACAATGTAGTGCCCGGATGGGTGAAGGCTGATAGAGTAAGCTTCTTCTTGGTATTCCTTAAACAGTTCTAGGGTGCTGTGAAAAAGATCAACTCTTTAGTTACGAGCCCAGCCCATTGTATCCCTCTGAGTCCTCCGCTATATCTGGTATATATAGATGCCATAGCATTTGGATACTTTATTGCTTGCAATGCTTGATTTCTCTGTTTTCTAGATGCTGTTTACTTAAAGATAATGTCCAACACTGAGTATGAGAACCAGTGCTGTTCAGTGATGGCAGAGACCCAGCTGTTGACATTCTAAAAACCACAAGTTGTGTACAGATATTTTTTTCCCAGCAGCCCTTGAAACTGTACACAGGAATGAAACAAAAACCAGTGTAGGGCTGACAGACAGTGTCAGGAGCCAGGAAGACGAAATCACCAGGGAGCTTGAGGTGGCTGGAGTATTGACTGATGAGGAGGAATAAAAGGTCTGAGCTCCAAGATGCAAAAACCATACGGGGTTGAAAGGACAGGAGAACCGGAAGGACATGGGAGTTGATCTTTATGTCCTTAATATCTAGGACAACATCTGGCATGCAGAAAGTATTTAAGAAGACCACAAAGTTATTTTCCAGCTCATACAAGAGAAATTAAGTAGTAGACTGGCTGACTTGAATTTAAAAAACTTTATCATTCTCTTTTTTATTATTATTTGGAAGAGTTAGAGAGAGAGGAAAGACACACAGAGAGATCTTCCATCCACTGGTTCACTCCCTAAATTGCAATAACAGCTGGAGCTAGACTGATCCGAAGGCAGGAGCCAGGAGCTTCTTCCAGGTCACCCATGTGATAGCGGGGGACCCAAGGACTTGAGCCATCCTCTGCTGCTTTCCCAGTGCATTAGCAGGGAGCAAGATCAGAAAGTGGAGCAGCTGCAGCCAAAACCTGCACCCATATAGAATTTCGGCATTGTAGGCAGAGGCTTAGCATACTATACCACGGCACTGGCCAGTGATTTGAAAAAGTCCTTTTCTATTTACAGCTTCTAAGTAATTAAGTTATTTATTTATTTTAAAAATAAAATAAAAAGAACATATTTTAGGTATTTTGAAGATACAATTCTAATAACACAATATTTTCCTTCCTCTTTCTGTTAACTTTTTAAACTGCCCTTTAATTAAGGGCAGGCATCATGGTGTGGGAGGTTTAGCCACTGCTTAGGTTGTCAGCATCTCTATAACCACATTGGTTCAAGTTTGAGTTATTGTGCTTCCTATTCAGCTTCTGTGCCTGGGAAAGCAACAGATTAATGATTTAAGTGGCTGAATCCTTGCAACCCATGTGAGAGACTTGGGTGGAATTCTGGGCTTTTGACATGGCCTGGCCCAGGACTGGCTGTTGTAAGTATTCGGGGAGTGAAACAACAGAGGGGATGACCTCTCGACCCCCTCTCTGACACGCTGCCTTTCAAATAATAATACAAATCAATTCACCAAACAAATTTAACTGAATCCCTGTATTCTACAGCAGTAAAATCTTTCATTCCTTACTTTGATTCATAATTCCAGATGCGAATGGAGCGGTCCAGAGAACAGGTGGCAATGAGGGGTTTGCGGATGCAGGTAGCTAGACCAGTGATGGATGCTGAGTGTAATGGGTACATCAGATACTCAAAGTGAGCGGGCTCCCCCTAGAGAAATCATACAGAATGAATTCCAGCGGAGTCATCACAAGGCTGGCTTGTCCTTCAGCACTAATTAACAGCTGTGAATATTCATTAGCCTGGGGACACAGATACCAGGCTATGGAAAACTGTTTTTGCATTATGCATGTTTTCCTATGCCTCTATTCTTTTCATGAGAGTAAAACATTTTATTCTTTGGCTAGCCTAGAAGTAAACTTAACCATTGCTCTACTGTGGGACCATTTAAGTGATTTCTACTTTTTCTTTAGAAGTAACCTAACACCCTTGCATCCTTTGTGTCTCAGATTACTTCCTTAGCACACATTTCTGCAAGTGGCATATTGGGCAAAATGGCAGGAATCATTTTAAAGATCTTGATAGGTAATGTCCATTTTTTCTTCTCCAAAGAGACTGTACTAATTAGCACCAGCAGCAAATGACAGCTGGGCGAGTGATCTGAAATTGAGGGGCTCCAGAGCATACCTGAACTGGCAGAAGGCATGTACTCGAAAGATGAATTAAGGCTGTGCAAGCTGAAGAGCAGGAATACAAAGGAATACAGAAAAGATCAATAGAGTCTCAGATAACGGATGAACCTCACGAAGAACATCAATTTCTGCATAAAGGGATCAGGAGAGGAAAAAGAGGAAGAGCCCCCAAAAGCGCTGCAATAAATACTGCCTGAAAACATTCTAAATGTGTTGAAAAACACTACTGCATACTACATTTTACAGGAAGCTCAATCAACTCAAAGTAAGAAAAGCATAAAAGTGATTCACAAGGGTTCACATTATAGCAAAAGCTCTGAGAAGTCAAACACAAGGAGGAGATTTGGCAGCAGCACTGCTCACTCTCAGGAAAACTTCAGTAAGCTTGACCCACTGTGCCACAATGCTGGCCCTGAATCTAACTTATAGATTAGATTTATAGATGAATTAAATTTCATAAAACTTAAAAAAAAATCTATATGCCAAATGATAACACCAAGAAAATGAAAAAAAGGTTCACAATAAACCAAAATATTTGCAAGTCACAGGACAAGGGACTTTATCTAGAAAACATAACAGATTCTTACAATTCAATAATGGAAAGGAGCATAATGAAGTTTTTACATTGTTAGAAAAATATTTACCGATTTACTTGAATGGCAGAACAAGAGACAGGAGAGAGGGGAAGGAGGCGGGGAGAGAAAAAGAGGGAGGGAGAGAGAGAGAGAGAGAGAGAGAGAGAGAGAGAGCACTTTTATCTGCTTGTTCATTCCCCAAATGGTCACAGAAGCTAGGTCTGGCCCAGCTTCAAGCCGGGAGTCAGGAATTCCATCCTGTTGACGCACATGGTAGCAGGGGACCAAGTCTTGGGTTGTATTCTGCTGCCTTCCTAGAGGCACTTGCAGGAAGCTGGATCAGAGGCAGAGCAGCTGGGACATCAACTGGCACCCCGACAGGGAAGCTGGCATCACAGTGGCAGTGTAACCCACCACACCACAACACAGTTCTGAATCTCTTTAAATTAGCAAAAAGACTAAGTAGACAGCTCTCCAAATAGTCAAACATACATGAAGATCTGTTTGACAGCATAGTCATGGAAATGCAAGTCAGAATCATGAGACGGGGCGGGAGTTGTGGTACAACATGTGGAGCTATTGTTTGGGACCCTACATCTTGTATCAGAGTACCGATGTGGGTCCCAGCTCCTAACATTTCTGACACAGATCACTGTTCATGCTTCTGGCAGGCAGTGGGCGAGGGCTCAAGTTCTTGGCTTCCTGCCGCCCATGTTAGGAGACCCAGATGGAGTTCTGGGGTTCTGGTTTTGGCCCGAGCTAAACTCAGTCATTGTGGGCATTTGGGGAGTAACCCAGTAGATGGAAGGTCTCTCTCCATCTCTTCTGCTTTTCAAATAAACAAAAATAAACAAATTAGAAAAAGAATCGTGAGCTATCACTTTACTCCTACCAGGATGATTGTATTTATAATAGTCAAGAGACGTGAACAACTCAAAAGTCCAAAGTCAGTGCACAGATAAATAAAAGTTTAATATATTCATACAATGGGATATTTGGCCATAAAAAGGAATGAAGTACAGGCATATGTTTCAATATGGCTGAACCTTGAAATCATACACAAATTTGTTATATGATTCCATTTATGTGAAATGTCCAGAAAAGGCAAATCTATGGAAACAAAAGGAAGATGAGACCCTTGCGTAGGGCTGGGTGCAGGGGAGAAGAGAGAGAAGAGCTAAAGAGTATGTGCTGGGTTTTTTTATGACAAAACTATTCTAAAAATGAATCTGGTAATGGCTGTGTGCCACTGGGAATGTACTAAAAACTCATTAAGTTATATACCATTGATACATAAATTGTATAACTCCTATAATCATAAAATTGTAACTCAATAAAGCTATTATTACTATCAATGCATTAAAACTCACTAAGTTGTACACTGCTAATATACAAGTTGTATAACTCATAAAACTATAAAATTGTAACTGAATCAAGCTATTATTTAACTAGACCATTAATGCAAAACACACTGAGATTCTACCATGATTGTAGGAGGATTCCTTTCTTTGCTGTTCCGCCAGTTATTGTGTTAATATTTTGAATCCAAGCTTTTAGGTACATGCAAGCTTAAATCACGGTATCTCATTGCTAAAGTGACCCTGAAGCACAAAGTGATCTTTACTTTAATAATGTTTTTGGTTGTGACCTCTGCAATGTGTTTGTTATTCCAAAACAAACAAAAGCAGCAATAAGCATTTTGTGCGCATGTCCTTGTGCACACAAAATAAAGCAGTAGCTTAAATGCCACAAAGTGTAATTGAATTGCAGGATTTAAATTCAGTAAGACAATGCCAGTGTGACCCCAAAGAGGATGCAGCAAGCACAGCCTCGCTGAGTGCCTAGTACATCTGCACGGACACCTTAGAGTTTCTTTTGCTCTGTTAGGAAGCAGGTGGAGAATCTCAACCTTAGCTAATCTTTCTCAGAATTGACCCAGCGGGTGACCAGCCCTGCAGCAGGTGCACAGGTCAGGTGTGGGAGGAGGTGCTGCTGGAGCACACTCACCTTGCTGATCTCTGTCAGAGACATGGTGATGCTGTAGAGTTGGTTCTTGCTAGTGCTGGCGACCAGGGTCTCCTCCGAGGGGCTGAAGCTCATGCAGAGAACGTCCTGTTTGTCAGACTGACTCGGGTCGTTGCTCTGTGGGTCCACAGGGATCTGGCCGAGATGCAAAGCAGCATCAGTACTGTGACCGCAGCATCAGTGTGGCTAAAGGCTTTCGGGGGTTTTCAGCTGGCTTACAGACCCTTAGACCAGGGTGCTTCCAGGAGCCTCCACAGGTGTAGAGAAGGCAGAGCCTGTCACCTCTGTGAGTTCTTAACACTACCATATGTCCTCCACGAAGTGACAAGTGTCCAAATGATAGGACAGCAGCAAATGTGACAATGACTAAGGTATACATCTCAATTAGAGATCTCCCAAACTCAAAATGAGCATTTAAAACCCACTCTCAGGATGGCCATCTGTTCCTGTGTGAGATGTCCGCATCTCATACTACAATGCTGGTTCGAGCCCTGACTCTATTCTGCTTCTGATCCAGTTCCTGCTAACACACTCCCCAGAAGGGAGCAGATGATGGCTCAAGTAGCTGAATCCCCGTGGGGCACCTGGATTGAGTTCTGGGCTCCAGGCTTTACCCTGGCCCTGCCCTGGCTTCTGTAGGCATCTGAGAAATAAAACGATGGATGGAAGATCTTGCATGTGTTCTCCCTCCCTTCTATTTCAAATGAAATGAAAAAAATTTAAAAATCGACCCATCTCATTGCTGCCTACCTGTTGGAAGCTCTGGGCATGGGTCACCTGGATATCAATGCACTCTGCAGGCCAGCAGAGGGCTCCTTGATAGCCCTTCACCCATGTGAGGTGGGTGGCAGGGCAGAGGAAAGAGAAGGGGTCTTATAGCTCCTACCAGCAGTTCCTGTTCCAATAACGTTTCATAGTGTTCTCAAGCAGATGTTATGAAATTAGGTTTTCTCAGGGCCAGTGCTGTGGCTCACTGGCTGATCCTCCACCTCCAAGTACCATCACCCCGTTGGTGGGTTGGATGTGGGGAGTCCTGAGATGCACCCATGGTTGTCAGGTCTGCCACACTGGTCAGAGTGGGCACCTTCAGACCACAGACCTTGTCCATTCTGTCTGACTGCTGAGTGCCATGCACACTGTCATTCTCTCCAGAAACATGAACTGCTGTGGGAAGAGACCATGTCTGACTTCTGTCTCAGGTGCCAAGCATGGGTTCTGTGCCACGGAAGGTGCATGATGGATGCATGGCGAATGAGTGGGTGAATGAACCATCACTACTTCTCAGTATCCTCTGCTGGATTCCCATCCTGTATCAGGGGCCAGATTAGGAAATTCAAGTCTTATACTCAGTCCTTTTCCACCTCATTTGCGATTTTTATCTTCCAGTGATTTTAACTAATATGAATATTCCAAGGAGAACAATGCAAGTAGCAGTGATTATAATGATAACTCAAAATAATAAAAACTAACATTAGCTATGCAGCAGCCACACGCTAAGCTCTGTGTGTGTACTGATCCCACTCCCAAACCAGAAATCCCATCAAGCACTGCACCTGATCTGGGTCTCTGCAAAAAAGTCCACTTTTCACCATTCTTTTTTTTTTTTTTTAAAAAAAGATTTGTTTTATTTCTTTGAAAGGCACAGTTCTAGGAGACAGAGGGAAAGATCTTGCATCTACCAGTTTACTCCTCAAATGACCCACAACTGCTAGGGTTAGCCCAGGCTGAAGCCAGGAGCTTCATCCGGGTCTCCCAGGCAGGTGCAGGGGCCTGAGAATTTGGGCCATTTTTTCACTGCAATCCCAGGTGTGTCAGCAGAGAGTTGGATGGGAACTGGAACCACCATGACTCGAACTGGCAACCATATGGGATGCTGCTATCACATGTAGCGCTACTCCGGCTTTTCGGTTGAGTTCTGAGCAGCCACTACAGCTAAGCCTCATTGCACTACATTTAAACACCATGAGCTCCCAGCATCTACCACGCAGCTTGGCATTTGATAAATAATAAAGATTTGCTAGACGAATAAACAAACAAAAGAATGAATTCTTTTGTGAGCAAAGTAAACTGACATCGCTTCTGTCCTTTTCCCTTGGGTCCTACCTACTGCTCTTACCTCCTTCCTATGTCTGGTCCCTTCCCCAGACATCAGCCTCAACTGCTGGGCATCACCTCTAAGTATTCCTTGCTTCTGACCTCCCCTATATACTCAGGGAAAGTCCTAGAGACTGAACCTCCACAAAAACTCCACCTTCCCCATCTCCCTACCTGATCTTAGTCTTTGTTAGCTTTTGGCTTCATTAAAAAGACTATCTTCACCAGTTCCTAACAGCAGCATCATAATTTCTAATCATTCTCTGAGCAGCAAGTGGCCAATCCCTGCCCTTGGTGGGGGAACTGGGCTGACCTTCACCCTCATGCTATCAGGTTCAAGGTACTGTTAGGTCCAGCCCCTTAACCCCAGTCTGGCTCACATGCTGTTTCTATCCATGTCAAGCCCATTACCCCCAGAATCATCTTTGCTGACTACTGGGGGAAGGCTCCTTCTCTTATATTTTTGCCTTTCTGCTCAAAAACCTTGCAGGTTGCCTGTGAATTCCACACTCAGCTTTTGAGCTGGCCCCTGAGATCTTTCACGAGCCCCAGCTCTCTTCTGCCCCGTTCAGGTGACTTTAGTCCCTGTCCACTGGGGAACAGAACATATCTCAACATACCACCGGTTCCCCCTCAGTGGTGACAATGCTTAAGCTGTTCCCTCCATTGTGACTTCCTAATTGGTTAATTTAAAAAAAGAAACTTATTTCTATTTCTTGGAAAGGCAGATTTACAGAGAGAAAAAAAAGAGAAAAAGAACTTTCATCTGCTGGTTCATTTCCCCAAACACCCACAGCAGCTGGAGCTGAGCCGATCCAAAGCCAGGAGTCAGGAACAACTTCTGGGTCTCCCACATGGATACAGGGTCCCAAGGCTTTGTGCCATCCTCCTCTGTTTTCCCAGGCCACAAGCAGGGAGCTGGGTGGAAAGTGGAGCAGCTGGGATACAAACTGGTTCCCGTATGCGATCCCAGTGAACGCAAGCTGAGGATTTAGCCACTGGGCCATCATGCCAGGCCCCTTCATTAGTTTCTTGCTGCCTCATGTTCTCAGCCTTCCATGATTCTCCCTTAAACACTGTTGTCAAACACAGGGAAGCCTTCCTGTTCCTTCCTAAGCAGATCCTCCCACCCCACCCTACCGCCTCTATGCCACCCTGTGACTCTCTGTTCCATATTCATTTGCTGAAGGCTGACTATGTGCCAGGAGGTCTGCTGGCCACTAAACATGCACACACGTCATAACAGGGAGGCTGTGGAAACTCTAAAGTTCAAGAGGAAACGCAATCTGTCTAAGATCTTCCTCCTTTAAACTCCAAATGTGAGGTCAGAGTTGAGGTGCAGTGCGTTAAGCTGTGGCTCGCAATGTTGGCATCTCACATTGTAATGTCAGTTTGAGAACCAGCTGCTCTGCTTCCTGCCCAGCTCCCTGCTGCTGAAGCCTAGAAAGGCAGGAGGTGATGGACCAGGTACTTGAGTTCCTGCTGCTCACATGGGAGACCCAGATGGAGTTCCTGGCTCCTAGCTTCAGCCTGGCATTTCCTAGCTGTTATGGGCATTTAGGGAGTGAACCAGCATATGCTTCTCTCTCTCTCTCTCTGATGCTCTTTTAAATAGGTAACTCTTACAAAGGAAAAAAGAAAACCTAAAAGTACCCACTGCATCCTAATACCTCCCTCAGGAGGGACCCCACAAGTCACCACCCATGTGCAGCCCTCTGCACAAGTCACCACCCGTGTGCAGCCCTCTGCCCCACTGCAGTGTCTTGCACTTGCTGCCAGAGAGCCAACGGCACAGGGGTCACCCTGGTTGTACATCTTTTCCCTCTTCCCTCCTTACCCGGATTTCCCTGCTCTCCCGATAGAAATCCTTCTCTTCTATCTTCTCAAATAGCAGAACTCTTCCTGGCCCAGCAGAGCAGGCAAAGCCCTTGGAGTAGGTGGCAATGGCAAACACCTGGGGCATGGTGAGCTGGCTGTAGTTGCTGGCTGTCTTGACCTGCTCATAGGACGGGACTGGGGAACTGGCAGGTGGGAAGTCGATCAGGCTGCAGAAGGAAAACAGCATCTATGGCTTCCAGAGCCAATTCCAAGGAGCAAGGTTTTGCTCGGGAGCAGATGGAGCGCCACCCCTGGGTGGAGTTGAGGAACTACTTGGCGATCCTTACTCCCACAGCCAGTTGCTGTCCTTAGGCCTGCAGGTGCCAACACTGAGAAGAGGAGCCTGGGAGGCTACTCACTCACGTACAAGTGTCACGCCCTGTGTGGCCACGGCAATGGCAGCCATGATTATGAACGCTGTCAACGTTGCTGGAGGATGGTTATCCTCACCAAACTCGAAGAGATGTTCCGAGTGGTTTTACCAACGTCACACAACCACCAAGTGGCAGAGCTGAGATCTGGATCCAGTTCTCTGTTTTGTTTATATGTGGAATTTTTGTATTTATTGCTAAATATTTATTTGGTGTTTGACTGTGTTCACAGCTCTGGAAAATAATGGTCACTAAGCCTCTTCAGAAGCTTACAGTCCAAGGGCAGGTATGCTATAGGGCATAGCTGAGTGCAAAGGTGGACAGCCGTTCAGCAAGTAACAGGTTTCCTGAGGACAGGGATGCAAGAGGTGCACACTTCTGAGATGAGCTCGGGCTATGAGCTGGGACCCACAGGATGGGGTGGGAACCATGGGGAATAGCAAGCACCTGGCCCAGCCTGGAAGCAAGATGGTGTACAGAGTGCATGCAGGGACGGAGGTGAGAGCAGATGTTCCTTGTAGAAAGAAGGGTGAGAGCAGCAGGCATGTGTCGGTTGAGCTAAAACAGGGGGCCTGTATTCTGGGACCACTACACAACATGAACCAGAGAAGGGCATAGGGACTACGTAATCACAACCCAAAAGGGTATATATGGGAACACAGCAAGCAAAGCACAATTGGGAAGTTACTGAGGACGTATCTGCGGGATGCCATTGGGTGGAGGGCCCAGGCTGTAGGGTCAGCTAGACCTGGGTTCGACTATCGAGTCCTCTGTAAACCAGCACTGTGATCTTGAGTGAGTTGCTTAACCTCTGAGTTCGTTTCTTTGTCTATAAAACAGACCTAGATCCCTGGTACTCAGCAAGACGCCCTGTTTGGTGTACAACCTACATAATCAACAAAGTAGCTGCGGGAGCTACTAGAAAATATTGTTTTGAAAACCTATAATTTTGAAGACCAGTCATATTACAATGGTTACAAGACTAGATCTTAAAAATTAACAGACTTGCATCCAGGTTGAGGTCCTACCAAGGCTGTGCTTGAATGTGGAGGAATGATAGAGAGGACGAGGGAAATTGAACACACAGCAGACTTTCAAGAAAGAAGGGTGGTGAGTGGGTTTTTTTGTTTGTTTTTTTTCCCCAAACATAGCTTTCTGGATAAAGCTGTTAGTACAGTGAGTGTGTGGGAGCCAGCCCAGGGGGGTACCCTTACCTCTCCGATTCCTGGATGATGTCTAGGTTCTTGGAGCCACTGGTGGCCTCCTTCACCATTATATTTGTCTCCCAACGCTGATCTCCCAATTCGAAGAGGAAGAGCTTGCCCATGTCAGTGCCAACAATAATCCTGTCCTCAGACACCCAGGCATGGGCTAAATAGTTTTGTGGTTCTCCTCTCTGAAAATTGGTCTGCTTTAGAGTTCCCTCAGCAAAACGGAGCAGCTTAAATATTCCATTTCCAGTGACACAAACCTGTGTGTTATCCTGGGGATTGAAGCTAACCTGTAAGACGTGAATGAAGAAGTGAAAAAAAGAAATTAGTCTTGATGGAATGTTTTCACACTCTATTCATTAACATTTATTTCAAGTGGCTCACAAATCCCTTTAGAGATTATAAAAGCATATAATTTTATATCATGTTTAATAAGGACACACCGCTGTATTTAGTTAGCTTATCCCTACAGCAAATATGTGGGCAAAGCTAATTATCAAAGAAGGAAGAAGCTTATTTTGGCTCATGGTTTTAGAGGCTCATAGTCCAATAGTGTTCAGGTCCTCCTGGCTTGAGGGACAGTGATGGCAGGGCATGTGCAGAGAGAGAAATCCATGGCAAGCCAGGAAGGGAAAAGGACGAGTCTTGACTTGGGGTAGTATAACCAAACCTCTTGCAACAACTATTTTCTAAGAGCATGGCCCCAAACACCCAAGGACTTCCCATCACCTCCTAGTTATGTTTCCTCCATCATAGTATTATCCATTTCTGACTCTGGCAATCAGCTATCCATGTGAGTTTGGGGGCCAATATCCCGTTCAGACCACAACAGGCTTCCCAGTCTTAAAAGGGGAAATCTTATAGATTTCTGCCAAAAATCACAGAATGAAAAGGTTTCTGTTCTAAGAAACTTCACAAAGAAAATGCACAAAAAAATTCAGCTACAGAAGCGAACAGAAAACAGAGTGCTGGCAAGTTTACATGGTCCTGTATAATCGAAGGAAACCACAGGTCAGGAGGTACCATGTGCTCTTGCATCAAATGAGCTGCTTCAGCCTCCAACCTTATCCCAGAGTACAGTGAGGGCCAGGCAACCTGCTGTCCCCTACATGGAGCCTGCTGGGGGCGCTGTGGCTTTTTCATCCACATATTTCCACTGCTGACCTCACAATAGGCATCCTGTAAAGTGGTTGCTCAATCTACTTTGGAGGAGGTACTCTCCGCTTCCAATGAGGTTGCTTCATTCACTTTGTCATGGACATGTGTTCTGGTTCAGATACACTTGCTTCCATGTCAACCTTACAGGAGCTGAAGACTGAGTCTGCGTCTGCAGCACGGATTAACTAGGCTCTTTGAATGTGAACAGAATCGGGTTGCTGGACACACAGAACCGAGTACTGGATCCTAGCCTGGGGTAACTCTACTATGAGAAAGTCTCCGTTGGACCTCCTGCCGAAGCAGTCCAACAGAAGTCTTCATGTTGCCCTCAAACAACAATAGGAAATGCTTCTTCCCACAATGGCTACAACTTCATCAATATCTCCTTGAAGACCTGACATTTTACACTACTTTCCTGGAACCTTCCCATTGCCCAGAAATACCTCAGGAAACAGGCCAGGACTAGACAGAGAGGGAAAGAGAGCAAGCGTTATTCATCTACCTCTAGGTCCACTCTGTGATCCCAAAACACTTCTGGGTCACAGGAAAGCGGTTAGGAGAACGAATCAGGGAATTCCTGGCTCTGTGCATTGCCTCTTGGAACTTGGGCAAGCAACTGCATCTCTTGGAGCCCCAGTTCCCTGTTCCATGAAATGGGGATAATAATAATCAACAATTTATGTGGTTACCATAAAAGTAACTGCTAACATGCAAGTTAATTAAAATGCAATAAATTAATGGGACCCAGATGAAGGTCAATAAAAGACAGCTCCTGCCAACTTTTCATACTTGGCATGGACGTTTGGTTAGGAGGTACCTGATAGATGGGATTGTTCTGAACGTCGGTTCTAATAATGGCCATGACTCTCTGCTTTCCCCACAGCCAATAGACAAGGTTTGACTCTGGAGGTGACGTCTGAGTCAGTAGGTATTTGGAGTCTGGGGAAAAAGCCATACTAGTAAACTTCTGAACCGGGAAATCAAAATTGTTAAGGACTTTGCGTTTCCGGCAGGGGATGGATGATAGTTCATAAATGGTGATGGTGGGCTTTTCTTGCACAGTTTCGGAGATGGCCAGGTATCGCCGGTTGGGACTGATGGCCAAGGCCAGCATGCCTTGGCTCTTGTCTGAGCCTGCAAACAAGAGGTAAAAGGGGATTGTGAGGGTCGATCAGGCTAGCACTATATTCAACATAAGCCTGGCGCCACAAAGAAAGGCACACAGGTGGTACATACCAGTTCATGGCAGTGTCTTGGCATGACAATGACTGGGACAGGTAATCCCTGGAGGCTAGGTGGGAGAAGGAGGCAGGAAAGCCTGAGTCAAGCGTGGATGCTGTTACAGGTACAGCACAGTGGGAGAATCACATGCTGGGCAATGGTGCTGCCCATGTCAGGTGGCTCTTTGATCTTGCCCAGAGGGGACAATAACAGCCCCTCAGACTGGCTAACTCCCCACATGCTTCCTCTGTTCCTTGTGGATTTCCCTCAGGCAGGTGATGTGTGGGACAATGGGCAAGTCTTGGCCAGGAGAAGGAGACAGAAGGCTGCTGGAAGGGTTGTATGAAGCCTGTGGTCTCCTGCAAACCGAGAACAGAAGCCCTCGGTGCCCTCTTTTCTGGGATATACAGGTGTTGGCTGTGTTTGCCAACCATTAAGAAGAGCCTGGGGCCGGTCCCCTCGCCCTTTCGGGGGACCGCTAAGGGCCAGCCGGTGGCCCGGCGCTCCGCATTTGGCGGGGCAACGGCGTGCTGCTGTGTAGTGCCCAAGGGGTTCGCGGGTAGCCCAGGGGCGTGACTGGAGCCCTGGACATGGCCAGGGGGAGGCAGAGCCTGAAGCCTGAGGGAAAGCAGTGGAAGATACACATGGGAGAACCAGGAGAGGCTCTGGCTCCCAGCTTGGGATCAGCTCAGCCCCGGCTATTGAGGCCATTTGGGGAGTGAACCAAAGGATGAAATATATTTCTCTCTGTAAATCTTTCCAATAAAAAAAAATAAATCTTAAAAAAAGAATTTGCTAATAAAAAATAAACTTAAAAAATTACTCAGCTCACTCAAATGTGCCAATTTTGTGTATTTACTTCTAGTATGATTTGATTTGTTTTGAAAAGATTCATTTGAAATGTAGAAAGAGAGAGAGACAGACTTCTTCCATTTCTTCTGTCTTCTAGTTCACTTCCCAGGCGCCCACAACTGCCAGAACTGGGCCAGCCTGAAGCCAGCAGCCAGGAATTCCATTTGACCTCTCATGTTGGAGGCAGGAACTCAACACTTGTTCCATCTTCTGCTGCCTCTCAGGCCTGTTAGCAGGAGACTGGTTCTGATCCTGGTGGTCCCTGCTTCCCATCCAGCTCCCTATCTGTGGCCTGGAAAAGCAGTCTAGGATGGCCCAAAGCCTTGGGACCCTGCACCCATGTGGGAGATTCGGAGGAAGCTCCTGGCTCCTGACTTCGGATTGGCTCAGCTCTGGGCGCTGTGGCTGCTTGGGGAGTGAACAATTGGATGGAGGATCTTCCTCTCTGTCTCTCCTCTTCTCTGTATATCTGCCTTTCCAATAAAAAATAAATATAAATCTTAAAAAAAAAAAAGAAGCAAGGCAGGGTTGAACCAGGGACTCTTACATGGGATGTTAGCTTCTAAGCCGGGGATCAACTTGTGCCATAGGACCCTCCACAGTTTGATTTGAAAATTTTCTCATTTATTATTATTATTTTTTTTTGTTTGCAAAGCAAAGGGACCCAGACTTCCATCCTCTGGTTCACTCCCTAAATGCCTGCAAGAGTTGGGAACCCAGAACTCAGTCTGAGTGTCCTGCATGGACGACAGTACTTCAGGCATCATGTGCTGCCTCGATGATGTACAGTAACAGGAAGCGAGATCAAAAGCGCACTTAGCTGGGATTCAGACCAGGCACTCTCATATGGGATATGAACCTCCCAAGGGAGCAACTCAACTGTGTTGTCAACAGACTACCCTGTGGTTTAATTTCTTTTACACACAAGTCTTTGCCTTGGGTACACAACAGTGGAAGGTATAAAGTAAGGATCTAAATTGATTCCAATTTCCCAAATGCCTTGTTAGTTGTCCCAGAGCAATTACAAATACGACATTTATGATACTGAGAAGTTATATATTTATATACTGAGGTTTCTGTACAACGGACACACTCCTTTTTTGTAATCTTTCTTGTGCTTCAAAACCTGGCAAGGTGATCATAAGGAAAAAGAAGGAGGAAATGGAAACGATAAATTCTATTTTTTTGTATCTAGTGGGAGGGTCATATGGCGAGACTTTCTGATAAGGATGTCTGGAGCTGGATGTGATTGTAGGGTTAGTGGAAGTGACTGAGACAGGAAGGGAAAGGGTCCTCCAAAGAGACCCCAAGCGTGGGCTTGCCTACAGGAGGCAAAGGAGAACGGCTGGTTCCTCCTCCTGTGTTCTGTGCCACGCTGCTAACTAGTATGCCCTCCTTGCTGATGTGGTGTGAACACACCTGTCTCCAGGTGAGGACTCCTGTGGGGCAGGGCCTGCAGCTTTCCTGCCCTCTCAAGCACCAGCTCAGTAGGTACTTCCTTTATGTTGACAGTGTTCAATGTCTAGGAAATGTTTTCTCACCATTTTACCCGGCTAATGGCTTCCTCCATGAAGTCTTTTCTCCCATGGATCTCCTCCAGCCTTCCTGGAAATTCCTTCAGAGCTTCTTGCGCTCATTCTCCGGTCTGCTTCTCTTTGTGAACCTGCTTACTCCCTGGGAGAATCTCACCTTTTCATTTCTTCTTTATGCTGGTGACCCTCAAATACTCATTTCCAGCCAGGACCTCTCCCATTTGAGCCTAGTCTGGGAAATCACACTGTTTACTTCCCCCACGTGAACACCTACCTGGTCACACAACACATCCACAACCCAACTGTTTCTTTTTTTTTTAGTCTTTTAATCTTTTCCTATCAACAGTGACTCCATCCTTCTTGATGCCTGGCACAAAAGCTTGCTCCTTTTTCTTTTCTACTCCATACTGGTCTACGGAGAAATCCTGCCCTCAACAGAAAACCAGGCTTTTATTTCGTCTCTGTCAACTGCCCATCCAAACCTTGCTCCCAGCACCTTTTTCCCTCATCTGGACTACCGCAATTACTGCTCCCTGCTTCCTCCTTTAGCTCTCCTCAAATGTATTCTATGCACAGTAGCCAGCAGAGCCTGTGCAAACCTCACTCAGATCATGTCCCTGTGCTCAACACCTGCTATGGCTTCTCATTTCACTTACAGTAAACTGGACAGTCCTAGAAGCTGCTGCTCCCCATTATTTCTTTGGGCCATCTTCTGCTGTTTTCCTAGGGACATTAGCAGGGAGCTGGACTGGAAATGGAGCAGCCGAGACTCAAACCGGGGCTTGTATTGGGACAGCAGCAAGGAAGGTGGTGGTTGAATTTGCTGCACCACAATGCCAGCCTCTCACAGGATGTTCTTAAGAAAATTTTGTTGCATGAACAAATGAGTATGTCTTAATGCCATCCTGGTCCGAACCGAGTGAGCAAAGCACTGTCTCCACTGCAGGAGTGAAGAGACTGAGCCTGTGTTAAGCTCATAAAATGGAGAGCCAGATCAAATTCAGATCTCATGATTTCATGATCATCATATTCTGTAATTTAACTCTTTCAGATCCCACCCTCGGTATCCAGGACTCTGGAATTCTCTGTCCAAATGGTACAGAGTCTGGTAACAAACTCAGCACCAGCTTGTTCCAATAGGTCTGTATCTATCTTTGGCCCAGGCCTGAAGATTGGCCAAACGGTGTTTGTTTATTGAGCATGTGAGTGGAACTGGAACCTCTGGATGGGGAGGAGCTGCGCACATGCATGCATGTGATGGAGTTCACTGCAGAAGGAAAATGGTCCAGGAAGAAAAGTGTGAGACCATGAGCACAACTAAGACCAGGGTCTTAAGGGATCCGTTAAGCAGCACGTCAGATACAGCTGAAGAGACAATCAGAGAACTGAGATGAAGGTAGAGGAATGACCTGGACTGCAACAGAGAGGCTAAGAATTGGAAAAATCAAGTAAGTAAAACACATGGAGGAGTGAAGACGGAATTGAGCTGGTGAGGGGTTCCAGAAGACAACAGAAAAGCTTCTATATTTCAAGTAACAATTACTAAATATTTCCTAGAATCATTGAGTAACATTTTCTAGAATAACTGAGTCCCAAAGAATGCTTAGGAGGATAGAAACAGAAAAAAAAAAACCCCACATATTCATAAATGTGTGTCTAAAAATAAAGAGACAGAATTCTTAAAATAATTGAGAAAAAAAAAAGACTAGAAGACTTCAATGGCTAACATCTTAACATGGTGACAAAAGAGAAGGCAAAGCAAACAAACAAACAAATGAACCATAGAATATGATCTATAATGTGATTATAAACATTGTATATCTTTTAAAAATAAGAAGAAATAAGGCCATTTCCAGACAAACCACAACAGAGAGCATGTACCTACCACTGACACACTATTACTAAATGCAGAGGAAAAATGACCTCAGCTGGAACAATTGATTTGTAAAGAGTAATGGCAGGCAAAGGGTTTAGTCAAGATGAGAGCAAATACAAACAAATGTTTGTATAAAATGGGGACTGACTTAATCATGAAAAGTTACATGGTCTTTTCGTAAAATACAGAAAACACATATAATTAGGGCCCAGCGCAGTGGCCTAGTGGCTAAAGTCCTCTCCTTGAATGCTCCAGGATCTCATATGGGCGCCAGTTCTAATACTGGTGGCGCTGCTTTCCATCCAGCTCCCTGCTTGTGGCTTTCGAAAGTAGTCGAGGACGGCCCAAAGCCTTGGGACCCTGCACCTGCATGGGAGACCCGGAGGAGGCTCCTGACTCCTGGCTTCAGATTGGCTCAGCTCCAGCTGTTGTGGTCACTTGGGGAGTAAACCATCAGACAGAAGATCTTCCTCTCTGTCTCTCCTCCTCTCTCTCTGTATATCTGCCTTTCCAATAAAAATAAATAAATCTTTTTAAAAAATGAAAATAGATATAATAAAATCCAGTATATATTTGGGGGTGTGCAGTATAGCCAATCACAAAGGAAAGGCATTGCTTAGCCTGGTAGGTACGCTGAGCAACCACCACAGGGAATAGCCGAGATCAGAAACACAAGAGGGGCTGCTCATTTTCCTTGTCCCTGGACGTACTCACCAGTATAGTAACACAAGAAAGAAGCAACAACACTATCATAATTATTACATGATGTGGCAGTCTGTGTGGAAAACTCCACAGAATCTCCTGAAAAATAATCAGGATTCATAGCAACTTAGCAAATATGTTGGATGTAAAAATCAAGAAATAAAATTCCACTGCATTCAGTACAGTTTATTCCAACAGAATACTACACGCTGTTTCATAAACTTGACCTTATCAACGGTAACATATTCTGTCCATCAAAAGACTCCCCATGGACATGAATATATGTTAATCAAAACAAGTTTTAAAATAGTGCTAAATTAAAAAATAAAACAGAGACAGAAAAAAATCAAGGCCGAAAGTACTAGGTGAAGTTATTTGCAACTCACAAATCTGACAAATGTTGGTATACAGAATATTTAAAGTGTGCCCCATGAAGTCATAAGGAAATTAATAACTCCTGCCACCAAACAGAAAAACAGGACTTACAAAAGGCAGTTACTATAGGTCTACATGGAAGTCCATAAACATGCAAAAATAGATTTCCTCATTAGTAATACAGAAATACAATTTAAAGCACCATGTCTTTTCTCAGCTGCTAGATTAGCAATGTATCAGGAAATTGTATGGCAGCAGGGGACGATGGGCTTGTGCTAGAATGGAGAGACTTTTCTGTACTTCTGGCGGGGGTGTATGGTGGCTGCGCATCCCAGGGTACCTGGGCACACGTGGATGCACATACAAGAATGAGTAGAAACGAATACACGTACGTGTACAGTAGTATGGTTCATGATGACAAAAGCCATTTCACAAATGTCCTCCACCATTAGAACGATGATCAACTACTCAGGGCATTATACTCCCGTGATGGAGCATGATACAACGGAGTGAACTCAGTTTTATGATTCAAGATGTATGAATGTCAGGGCTGGCATTGTGAGTCTGAGGTGGTCCTGGAAACGCTCTGGGGAAGCAGCGAGCATGGCCCAAGTGTTTGAGAGACCGGAAGAAGTTCTTGGCTCCTGACTCCTGGCTTTGCATAGGCCCAGCCCTGGCCATTGCAGCCTTTTGGGGAGTGAACCAGCGGGTAGAAGATCTCTCTCTCTCTGTCTGTTACCTCAGCCTTTCAAATATAGAAACAACTTCAAAAACAAAACAAAACAAAAACAAAAACATCACCAGACTTCACTGGACGGCTCAGTGACTAAATTCTCACTTTGCATGTGCTGGGATCCCATGTAAGCACTGGTTCGTGTCCTGGCAGCACTCTGCTGCTGACATAAAACCACACTGAAAATGCATGAAAAAGGATTCTTTACATTCTTGTGAAATTACAATGAAAAATGTATTTTTAAGTTAGTACTATTTTATATGCTGGGTGTGGTCGACCATGATTAAACAATGCAAGTCGACATTTACAACACTGTCCCTCCACATCCACAGAGTATATAGCCTCAAACAGGCCAACAGCCGTTTTTTCAAGGATGGAAAGGGCTTTACCTGGAATGAATTTTTGCCATTTCTGATCCACATTGTACTTCACGCAGTGGTTTCCTGAAGGAAACATAACAGTCTGCTCGTCGAAGAAGAAGATATTGTTGGTTACGTGAGATCGAAGGCCAAAAACATGCAGCGACTGGGCTACCACGCTGGACATGGTTTCTAGTCAGAGCTCTGCTGAACACAGCACAGCAGGTAAGGTAGGGAAGCGCTCCGCCCACCCCGGACAAGCCACGCCCCGGGACACGCCCACACCGGTCACGTCCCGCCCAGGATACGCCCCGTCCCCGGGACACGCCCCGCCCCCTAGGCGCCCTTCCCTCTTTCCGCCCCGACCCTGCTCCTTTTCCTGTTTCCTCCGCTCCCTCGCGTTTTCGAACTTCTCCTCATGCTCCAGGCACTTCCTCCCACCTTTCGCTTCTCTTTGGGTCACCAGATCACGTGCTCATCCAGAAGTCTTACCCTCCCGGATCGCATGCAACTCGTACTCTTCCGAACGCGGAGGCGTTCCTATAGCAACGGCGTACCGGAAGTGCGGGCTTACGACCGGAACAGGAAGTCGTGCTAAGAAAAAACCAAGCCGGGTAGGGTTGTGGGCGCTCCGGTGCCTCGAGTCCACGTGGAGCCGCAGGGATTTGTGCTGTCCCCGGGCAGCCGCGCGTGCTGTGGCATGGACACTCCCCCGCTCTCGGGATCGGACTCGGACTCTGACGAATCTCTGGTCGCGGACCAGGAGGTAGGTGTCCGCCGAGTCCGAGGGGCCGGGCGCCGACTCGGGGATCTTCCCTGGCTGGTGCTGACCGCCCTTGTACCTCGCAGTTGCAGGATGCGTTTTCCCGAGGGCTCCTGAAACCAGGCCTCAACGTCGTGCTGCAGGGGCCCAAGAAAGCCGTGAACAACGTGGTGAGTCCAGAACCGGCTCGGAGTGCACTCCGGAACCGGATCGGGGGTACCCGGAGGTGGGTGCACTCCGGAGACAGCCCTGGGAGTGGTATCCGGATTTGGGGTGCGTTCCAGAACTGGATCGGGGTACCCGGAGGTGGGTTGTATCTGGGAGACAGTGTTGTTCTGGAAAGGTTGAGCCCTCCTGATGTGGAGGTGGTGCCGGTGTTAGCGGACCTCCTTTCTGAGGGTTGGTTGACTTCACTAGAACGGCCTGAAACAGTGCTTGGCTGAATTCAGACGGGATCTGGAGTGGGTGGAGAGACTCGATGTGACCTTGGGGCCTGTGCCAGACACCAGCGGGTCGCAGGCAACACCTCCCGGCAAGGACCAGGCAGCCGTGAATCCCGAAGACGACTTCCAGCGGGAGATGACTTTGTATGTTGGTTTGCAAATGCAGGAGATGTTGGGGTCCTTTGTGCTGGAGAATTTGGGAGCGGGGAGGCAGTTGTGTGGGTGTCCCTGGGACTGTTGGCATTAACCTGGGAATGGGGCAGGGGAGGACTGCTGTTTTTTGCCATAAAGCTAGAATGGCCTCCCTGGCTAAGTCGCAGTCTAGCCGTGGGCCGTTTGGAAATGTCATTTACTGTGAGTGTGTGTCCGTCTGTGCGTGTGCACCGCGTGTAGGCATTCAGTAATTCGGAGCGATTTGTAGGTTTGGCTGTGGACTTTTATATAGTGATTTCATAGTTTATCCTTGGCGTTTGTATGTTGGTAGGTACCTATAGAGTGTTCTCCTAACATGATTAATTTGAGCAACACTTTTCCTTTGAAAGAATGACAATGAAACTTCTTCTAGATACCAGAATTGGTGAGGTGTTACTAGTTCAGGTTTGTTGGGGTGGAATGCCCCTGTGAGCTTGGGCGATTCGTAGGAGGCGGCGAGAAGGAATGGAAGACATTCCCTGCCTGTTTCTCACTGTGTCCTGGCTTTCCAGCTACCGCCAGGCGCAGGCGGCAGTGCTGGCCGTGTTACCCCGCCTCCACCAGCTGCAAGTCCCCACCAAGAGGCCTAATGACTACTTCGCAGAGATGGCCAAGTCGGATCAGCAGATGCAAAAGGTAAACGGCATTTAGGAAAAAGAACTGTGAAAAGTGAGCTGAGCTGATCACGGCATGGAGAGGACAGAAGAAACACATCTGGTGTCATCTCACTGTGGCCAGTGTGGAATGCTGAGGCTGCCAGATGGCTACTTTTCTTTGGGCCTCAGTTTTCCCTCCTGTAAAAGCAAGAAGGAGTTGATGTATGGTTCAGCTACAGTATAATTTACAGAGTTGGTAAACTTGGTTCTCATTTCACTCTGGGAGGAACAGAGTCGTCTGTGTCTGATTGAAGATGCACGGAGATAGCTCCCCAAGGCCTCCCGCTGGGTTTTAGGAGCTCTTGTCCCGTTGCTGCCCAGGGAAGCTAATCTAGAGAGGAGCTCAAGACACAGCTGTGCATTCACAGGGCTGGGTGCTTGTCTTTTAACTGAAGTGTGTGTGTTGGCCGAGGTCACATGCCTTCTGTCTGCCTGGCATTTTTATCAGGTTTGTGGTGTTGTAGAGAAGGGCATGGAGCTTGCGTGCTGTTTATCCCTCAGTTCAGAAAGCTAGTGCTCTTGTAGGCCAAGCTGTTAATGGAATAAATGACATTGAGTGGGCGGGCAGCCTCCAAAGCTGCAGCTCCACATAGACACTTTTTTGGTGCCTTGCAAAGTGCTTGACTATAAACACATGTTGGAATAGCTGATTTATGTGTTTTGTGCTTGGCAGAGCTGGGAATGTCTTCCGCATTACTGGTTGTCCCAGATTGAAATAACTGACTGTGTTTGCTGTTTTAGATTCGACAGAAGCTGCAGACAAAACAGGCCGCCATGGAGAAGTCCGAGAAGGCCAAGAAACTGCGAGCACTCCGGAAGTATGGGAAGAAGGTGAGAGTGCTGTGGGGACTTCCCAGGTTAGACTGCCCTGGCTGGACTGGGCTCCCTGCCCGTGTACTTGAGCAGGTGTTTATTGCTTCTAGTGCAGTGTGTGTGCTGGTGTGTGAGCAGGGTCATACACTGACCCCAGGGCGGGCCCAGGAATCCTGTGACAGCAGGAGAGCCTGTGCTTTACCTCCTCTGGGCTTCAGCTGCCACACCTGTGTGGGAGAGCAATGCAGTAAGATCAGCGGTTTCCAGCAACATCCTTAGGGGAAATTTCCGACTCCCAGAATTTCTAGGAATTTGTATACATATCCCTCTCATCCCCCTAAAAGCTCACCTGGTGATTCCAGTCTGCATTTCCGGGATTCATAAGCCGAGTTGATCATCACGTCTTTGAAGGAATTAACCGTGGGCTGTATGAATGTGTGGCACCTGTGTGAATGATGAGTGGCTGGGTGCTGATGTAAAAGCATTTCTGGTGCACAGTGGAATTGCTCTTGGTTTCCTTTACTTCCTGGACACCTGACAAAGAAGATAGGAATTAAAGTTAGGATTTCAGGGAAAAATGAGTATGAGGAAAGTTAACCTGAGGGTTAAAACCGTGTCAACATTTTCTACATGAGCACCTGTATTGTGGGGTGATGAGCTCTTGTCTCCATTTGGGGTCGCCTCACTGATGGTTTCCAGCATAGAGTGGACCAGTGTCTTGTCCCCTGCATGAGGTCTCCTGTGGGTTTCTTTCTGACCTGGAGGTGGATGACTGGGAACATCTCAAAGACACCAGCTGTCAGTTGACACATTGTATTTTATCAGAAGCAAAGCTTAGATGTATTAGTTCTCAGTTGTTACTACTTATTTGAAAGGATTAACAGAGAAAGAGGGAGAGACTGGAATCTATATGCTGATTCATTCCCCAAATGGCCACAGTAGTTGGCCCTGGGACAGGTTGAACTGGGGGGCCTGGAACTCCATCTGGGTTTTCCATGTGGTGTAGGAGCCCAAGCGCTTGTACCATGCTGCACTGCTTTTCCCAGGTGCCAGTAGCAGGGAGCTGGATTGAAAGTGGAGCAACCAGGCACAGCTGGTGTCTATATTGGATACTGATGTTATAGGTGGTGGTGGCTTCCGTCACTGTGCCAGACACCAGCCACAGCTCAGTTTCTAAACTGAGGAAACCTTTGGGGCAGAGGTCTCAAGTTAGGGGGATTTTTGTCCTTTAGGGAATGCTTGCCACTGCAGGCCTTTTTGATTGTCAAATTAGGGGATAGGGAGGATACTACTGGGATCCAGTGGGTAGCTGGCAGTGCCCAGATCAGACCTCTGTCCCTTCAGCAAAGAAGCACCCTGGTAGAAAGTTGGCGAGCTGAGAGCTAGAGCCCTGCTTGGCGGTCTTGAAGTGTTTTCTTCATCCTTAAAGCTTTGCTGCTTCTTGTGTGTTTCCTGGGAAGATTATTTCTCTTCTCTTTTGGTATTGTCATGCCCAGTAACATGATTAATGGAGAAAATTGGACATAGATCTAAACACGATTTGCTGGTTTTGTAGGCAGGGTTATACAGTGAGAGGGGAGTGCAGGCTGGGTATGAACCTCGATTCTGCACTTCTTAAGAGCATGACTTGGGCATGTTATTGTGTTTCAGAGTAGCATATAATTTCAGCCTTACTGGATAAGAGGTGAACTGAGACTAAACTTAGAATATAACAGTCTCCTCCCCCAACATAGTATTACTGTCATTATAAAGAACATATTTGTAGTAAAGGTTTTGGGCAGGTGTAACTGTCTTTGTGTTCTTATTGCAGGTGCAAACAGAGGTTCTTCAGAAGAGGCAGCGGGAGAAAGCACACATGATGACTGCCATTAAGAAATACCAGAAAGGTCAGTATGTCTCAAGGATGTAAGGGAGCAGGGTACCAGGTGCCAGGGAGTTTATTTGAACAGATAGAGAGCATTAGAGCCTTCCTCATGGCTGTGTAACTATTGGACCTACATTTTGGGAATGATGTAGGTAGTAGAAAGCTGTTTCTCTTAAAATCATTGTAATGACTACCAGCCACATTTTGGGGTGCAAACTTTTCCTCCTTCACTGACAACAGTACTGACCAAAGTACTTCTTCACCAACAGGCTTCTCTGATAAACTGGATTTCCTGGAAGGAGATCAGAAACCTGCTGCCCGGGGCACACAGGCAGGCGCAAAGGGAGGCCAGCAGATGAAGAAGGGGTGAGGAGTTCTGGGTGTGGTTCTGTCCTGTGTTTGCTGGGCCAGCAATTCGTGAGCGTGATTGGAGCTCTCCAGCAGGAGCGGCCTCAGTCCACA